GTACAATTCAGCTCATTTGCTAATTTACTGTATACTAAGCATGATTGGTAAGATCAGGATGGAAAATGGTCAGAACATCTCCTGTCCAATCCAAAATTAATTAAAGTTCTTTTTTAAAATCCTGAGGTCATCCGTTACTCCATTAAGCAGCATCATGAGAATAAGTCTACTGGCCCTCTGTTCTATGTATTAGTCAAGAGCTCGTAAGGGTCTTGTCCTGTAGGGCTCTATTTTCGTGCCTTGCCGGCGATGTGGCGTATGCGCGGCGTAAATGAGGTCCGCTGCGCCGACAAGGCGTTCCCAAGCACAATTTGGTATTTTGGTGAGCGGTGCAGCCCGGCGTAAATATCCCCCCTCCCTAACTCAGCTCCTCTCAGCGGCGTAAGTCGTAGCGAGGGAGGAGAGAGGGCATGGAGTGGGTTTAACACAGCCGAGACCTGTTTTCACCAATCACATAAGCTCCTCTCCTTGCCTTTAAATCCGCCACCGGCGAGGCGTATTACTATTTTCGTGAAGTAGTCAAAGAGATCAAGAGATGTCTGAAGACAGTAATGCCACACGATGGCGACATAAAGCAGCTCCGCAACAAGTGTCACTGTAAACGCTGCATTGGGCGTCCTCCACACTCTCTCATATGAGCACAGATGGATTTGATGTATGTAATGCTGGACCCACTGGTAAGACAAACACCCTTTTCCACAAATAAAGACACTCACATAAAGTTGCATATATTCAAACCTTAGGTGACAAAGGTGGGTTGAGCGCACAGATCACAACATAAACTCCAAAAATGGCATTAAAATCGGAACCATCTGTGCGTAAATGACGCATCGCGCTCCGTGGCCCGGCTCTTTCTTTCATAGATGTTGGCATATAAAATAAATTTGGCTCACAAAACTGAATATTATAATATCCGTATGTCGGCTTAAAGTAGATAACTCATCTGAGCACTGAAACAAATCATCTGTTCAGCCGCTGCAGCAGGACGGAGAGAGGACACGGAGACATGTCCAGGTCGAGATGCGCGAGAAATAAGAGGAAGAGGAAGAAAGAAAAGGAGGGAGACGAATTACATATCTAGTTAACTTCATCATGTGTGTCTATTTACTAGATATTTAATTTAATTTAATGCGGTTCCAGCTGTGTTGATTCGGTCAGGTTGTGTGTCCAAACGCGTGCCAAACGCGCTCATCAGATCAGGTATAGATCAGAATATATCGATATAGATCTAAATGTATGTGCTGACTCAGATTAATAGTTGTTGATGATTATTTATTGCACTGAAATGTGCCTGACACTGTGGAAACCTGCCTGTGAGGCATCGGTGACGTATGCCTATACGCCGCCGGTCTACCAAAATACCTCTAAACCAGCTGCGCTCCACCTGCGCTGAGAGCTGACCAGGTTTGAATCGACGAGCTTTCAGCGCACTTTACACGCCACTGGCAAGCACGAAAATGTCACTGCGCCCGCTGATTCTGTCGACACCTCCCCCTGCCACGCCACCACGCCAGCTTGCCGGATCTCGGTTCGCCTCCGTGCGCCTCAGTCCACAAAAATACCAAACTGGCTGTACGCCGGGCTCTGCCAGACGAAGATACAACTGCACGGGGTCCGCCACCCTCCGCCGCCTCACTGGCGTACACGAAAATAGAGCCCGTAGTGTTTCGTGACACTCTGTTCTTTTATTTCTGTCACTAATGTGTTTTGAACTCAAAGGAATCTATTATTATCAATAATTAATCAAAATAGTATGAACGGACAGACTGCACAAACACAAAAAGAATTCAAAAAGTGTCTTTATGGACGTGACCTAACTGGCATGTTGTACTTTTTTGAGTCTTTGCATGTGAAGAAAACCACTTTTGACTTTAAGCGTGGGGATGGACAAACACCCAAGGAGTGTAAAAATGATGAAAAAAAAACAAAACTATTGCATACATAATATACATCCATCTTTATAGCACTATATTTACCAATACAACATAATGGACACTGAAAAAAGATTTTGTAATAGAACTAATAAAAATAACCATCTCATGTTTAAATGCTTTGCATTTACATTCAACATATGACATAGCCACAGATGCTAAAACCATGTATCCACACCATCTGGCAATGAGATAAAGACTCAGCTACCTTAAATTAATTGTGGTGAAAATTTGTGGTCACTGTAAGGTTAGCTGGCAAGATGGCCGAGGAAGGGTTTAAAAGTGGAAAAAAAGTGGTTGGTAAAGACCTTATAAAATAGAGCAGCGTATTTCTCAGTGTTTGTACTTTCTCACCAGTTCTGTTCTACTCCCCAGTTTCTCTCCATTTCCCAGCTCACCATGCCCTGAACTTCCCCCTCTTTCCGTCTGCACACGTTCCCTTCTCATCCATTTGATCACCTTTCGCCCCTCATGTCATCAGTTCTTCTCCATATCTAACAGACCAGTTCCTTTGTCCCTCATGGTCTGTGTAAAGTTTTTGTTTCAGAAACCATGAACTGTCTGCATAACTGCCTGTCTATCTCTGATTACAAGAAGCAACTAAGCCTTCAAATGCTCCCACCTGTACATGGGTCCTAGCCCTTTGCCAGCACTTCCATCTCAGACACGTGTACCTCTTGGAATTAGTTTTGATCCGGGGTAGATGATATGTTGAAAAAAAAATCATGGCAAACTGCAGAAGACTAAAGACCTGTAACACTGGAGCTATTTATGTCTTTACTGCATGTCACATTGTAATTTTAACATTTAACAATGTTACTGGTTTTCCTAAACTTGCTAAAAGATGTTTTAAATCCTACTCACCATCCTCTATGTCCACTAGGTGTGCTAGAGTATGAAACAATATTTGGACTGCTCTATTGACTCTTTTGCTATATTATTTACTTCTCAAACACTAAATAGGTTTGATATGTGTTTTTTGTTAATGTGTGGCCCTATATCTTTTTTCATTCCCTTTTTTTTCTTTAAAATTGTAACAGCAGGATATACCGCCTAATTAAGAGTGTCTTAACTTTTCTTTGAAGGTATATTACATCGCATTTTCTCCCAGCTGGAATACAGAAAAAATGCTGTGATAAAAAGTGCATTTCTTTTCATTTCAAAATGAAAAGGAAACAAATATTTTCTCAAGATTATAAATAAAGCTGCAGCATTGAAGACGTGGAACATCATAAAAAAGTACAATATTTTCATCAGTTTTTGAAAAATTTAATGTATACTAGGTTCTTAGTAAACTAAGAATTTACAAGCATTTTTTCTGATTTGATTTTGATGGTTATGACCTACTGCTCAAATGAACAGAAAAAGTGTCAGAATGCAGAGTGCCAAAACTTCTACCAAGGTGTTTACTGACCTGATATTACTTGGTCTTACTGGCCAGTCATCTCAATCTTTCTGAACCCCAGGAGAACCTTTGGGACATTTGTTGAGAGGAGATGACAAAAATCTGAAGCTGTTATCAAACAACCTGGGCTTTAATCAACACCTCAGCAGTACCACAGACTGATAACCTCCATGCCACCCTGCATTGATGTGATATTTCAGTGGACAAGCTCTATTCAGTTATTGAGAATATAAATGAAAACCTTTTAGAGGTCAGACATGTATTCTGTATTCTACATCCTTTCTCATTAATCTTAGATAATATTCTGATCATTTGGGACACTGAATTTGGGACACTTTCAGTATCTTACTATACAAGTTATTAGTAAAGGAACATGATGAAGTTCAACTTGAAGAGTCAAAGTCTTGACTTTTTCAGCCTTTTCTCATTTTTGAGCTGCACCTGTATACAACTGTTTTAGGGTACCTGGTCATTAAAATCTAAGATGAGATGAGGATCATCGCTCTTCAAAACATGTTGATCTTTTTTTTCAGGGTGGTAGTCAAGAACAACAAGGCTGCTAGAAGTTACAAAGGAGTTCAAATCCCCAAATCTTCACTGTCCTCTTGTTTACAAGTGTCAACATTTATTTTGTTCCTAAGATCCTTTATTTAGGACTTTCTGTTGCCATCCATAGAAATTTGGAGTTAACATACAACTGTGTAACTTATTTAAGAGTCTGTTAGGATTTACAACACAAGTTTTCAGAAAATAGAAAGTACTAGATTCTGGATGAAAATGTTTCACACTGTAGAGGTGTTGTTAAGACTCCATTATGGAGGGGTGTGCACCACATTGTGAGAGCAAATTGCAACATGCAGTAACAAAAATCCCTAAAATACACTCCCTTCAATCCCACCATTAACAGTAAACTTTTATTTAGGCTACTATATGCACATGGAAATTTAATGTTCACAAACTGAGTGGCTGTGCGTCCTCGAGTGGAAAAGGGGGCGGGGTAGTGGGATGTTTTAAGACAAAGTTTTGCACCGTGCATTTTATGGTCTGCTGACAATCTGGCAAAACCACACTCACCCTTACCTCTGTCAGGATCAGACATACAGTCTTTATCTGAAGAGCTGAACTTAGGATTGTTAAGAGAAGTTAAACACATCCATCAGTGTCAAAGCTTGATCTAAGTGTGTTATCACTGACCAATGTGTTCCCACTGCAACCGAGCTCATGACAGGTGCCACAGGCTGTCTCACAGGCTATCAAAACATTCAAACCGTAGTATATGGTGATGAGTGCACACAGTTACTAAGTGATAGCTATTTATTGTTGATGTTATTTAGTAAACTACACTTCTGCAATGGCCGTATCTGAAAATTATCCGAACAATGGTTGGGAAGTCTCCGCACGGTTTTTTAAAGACAATATTTACTTTTTAGGACAAATGTTTTATAAACAGGGATACCCCATTATTTGGGTAACAATGAAACAAAAAACATTTTTGACTTAAGGGAGGAGGTAGTTGAGATTGCCATCGTGGAAACAATGCAACTTTATTTTCAAAGTCATCAATAAAAAAATCAAACAGGATCAGTTTTTAGAAACACCTACCGGATAAGTGTAGGAGATCCACAAAAGAGCTTCGTTTCCAATTAATGACCAATAGACGGACGTAAGGGCCAAAACGCGAGGAGCCTCAGAGGGGCTATGTGGACACCGCCATGGAGTTTCCCAGTGAGTTATGGACATGCCTTCGAGCTTTTTTTCTCTCTCTGTACACTGGCATTAGTAGCATGTCTTTTTCACGCTTTACGCTCAGGGGGACTGCTTGCACGGGTTGATGTTTAATAGCTCACCACGGTGCGCAAAAAGGCGCGTCCTCGTCCCTGTGGGCCAGCACGTTATCGCTATATCCTTAGGGGAGGTAAATAAAAGGTTTTGCACAGCGGTGATGCAAAGTCTGATAGGTGCCTGCTCTCACAGCAGCACACGTCTTTCTAACACAGACCCTCATGCCGGTCGGACTAACGCGAGGACCAGTGTTGTATACTTAGCTGTATGATGGACTGACTGGAATGGACCGGTTTTTGGACCTTGAATCTTGAAGACTGTTACTCTACTGATTTAGTTCACAATGCTTTTGAAAGATGCGGCACTTATTTGCGAATGTTGCAGAAAACTGGTAGAGGTAAGAGCGCTTGTATTCCTAACCGGTCTGGTGCGTTTGTGTGCTGCTGCTCCTGCGCTGTCAGTGTGCTCAAAATTTTACCACACGTTCATTCTGCTAGTTAGTGTACAGCGGTAGTTTTAAATACCAAAAAATCCACACAAGCAATAGTAATGACACCACCTCTATGGAACTTCTCATCCAAGAGGAAAAATAGGATTGCTTAGAATAAAAAAACAAAAAAAAAAAAAAGAAACTCACTGAAACTGAACAGATAATGACTGAATTATGTCAGATATCTGTTAGAATCGAGTTGTATTTTGAATATCTTGCTTTCATAAGTTATTGTCTGACTTGTGAACTTCACATACTTAACGATCACCTTCTGAATGCTTTACAAAAGTCTGTATTTATTTACCACAATTCATAGAAATAGACTGTGTAATGCTGCTATGCATTAAGATATTTCATTCGTTCTTTTTAAGTGCGGCCAGTTGATGGCTGTAAGGTGATTGCTGTTATACCTAAAATGGGACTTTTTAGTCTTAGTGAGACAATCATTTCCATGTTACAGATGAATTGGGTGTAAGACATTATGCTGGTTCTATGTCTTTTAGTTTTGGATGAATCTTATTGGAGCTGCTGTTTTAATCCCCACTCATGTATCACATGTGACACAGTTATTGTAACTATCTGCTGAACTAACAGTCTTGTCTGCTGAATATTGATTTACAGTTTGTTTTTGCTGTCACTGGGAAAATACCCCTGTCATTCTTCTCTACCATGACACCGCATACTGTTCACTTCAGGGTACTGAATGTAAATGCTGACTCAGCACTTTTTTGAGCCGCCATCAGACATTTGCGTCAGCAGAAGAGAGGAAAAGGTCATTGAAGAATGACAACAAGTGGGATTCCAGCAAAGCTGAAGAGGAAATGATCTAACGTGTGTCATCTGATAGCTAATAATGTACAGCTCTGCACTTTGTTACAGGAAAGACCCTTTTAAAGATAGAAAGGACATTGCAAAGCATTCAAAGGCACCTATCCAATTGCTTAGGTTTACTTTTAATGGTACTGACTTATCAGACACCTGTGCAATTTTAAGTTTTAGTGTCACGTTGACTAGTTGTTGACGTATCTGAGTTCTTTCTGAAAAGTTCAAATCATCTCACGTGAACATCCAGACACCTCTCCAAAGTATCTGTCACATACCTGGAGTGGAGCTTGCCATCATCCAAAGTGCTGCCACTTGTAGACTACCACTTCCAACTTGAAATAGCAACATGGTTTTGGCAGCTGATGTTGGCGTACTAAGCTGTTAACTTTTAGTTTGGCTACCTTCCTGGACTGCAAATTCCACCAACGTGGTGGGAATGTTGATAGAGAGAGATTGTGCGTGTGTGAGCTGCTCAGGTTGACGCATTCTCACGTAGGCAAGGGCAGTGCTGTGGGGGTCACCAATAATCCTCAAGCTGAGTCACACACGTAATCATTCAGTCATGTGACTGCCTCTGAAAGTGCTGTGTAAATGGTGTGTTGTGTATACTTGAGACAACATAGTTGATTCAAAGTTTTGTTCCTGAATGATGAGATGGACAGACTCCAAGGTTTGTATAACTTAAAGTACCGTCAGAGGTCTGGAAAAGACCGTATGCACGAAGATTTAAAGTTTGTGAAGTGGACAAATCTATGAAAGCCTGCTCATAAATGAAGCAGTGTCAAAAATAAAGTGGAATAGGGGTCAACAGAATAATAACAGAGCCAGTGTAGCTGGATTTATTATTCTTGTGAAATGCTTTGAAATGAGTTTCATACAGTTCCCCAGGGAAAGGAGGTTATGGTACTGCTCTTAGCGTACAGGAAGATATTAGTGGACTATGAGGTTAAGGGACAGAGCGCGTCACCAGCACAGCTTTGTAAAAAGTTTACATAAAGATAAGAAACATGAGTCATTGGTGTCGTTTTATGGACACAGATTGATTCAGTGTGTTGACCAGAATCTCCCCAAATATTGTTGTAGTGTAGGAAGAGCAAAGGAGGTTCAGCTGGTAACACTTAAAACCCTGTAAGGAACACAGCTTATGTTCAAAAAAATCCCTGAATCCCAGTATAGTAATGGCATTTTGATTTCAAATACTGTTTGTCAAGATCATCCGGGGATACAGCTGCATACCTGCATTATTAGATAAACTTCTTTTTACAGAATGTGTTTGTCTGAAAGTCTGGTTCTTCAACTAGCCTATATCTGACCTGTCTGTCTGGGAAGATCATCTGTATCTCCTATCATCCTTTTGCGTCACACATCCAGGCCACTGTGAAAGAGTGCATTCAGCATGGGCATAGAGGACTGAGGCTAGATGCCCACATGACTCCTAACACTAGCTCCTCTCTAATTCTAACTTCACACAGTGAGTTTACGGACTGCTGTGCTTTCATGGGATTTATTATCTTTATGAGCGTTGAGAGGAGGTTAAAATAATGTGTACATTTGTGAATGAGACTGTGTAATCACCCAGTTATGGAGCTAGCCTGTAAATCTGTCTAAATGTGGGTTAAGAAAAAGCATAATGTCTTCTTTCTGCATGTTGTCGTCTGTAGGTTTCTGTACAGAAACCAATATATCACATGGTTCATCTTGTGCCACATATGAGAATGAAAACTGGTCAATAACATCCAGATAAAGTGGGGATAGAAGCAAGGTCACCAGGCTTGGCACTTTGATGCTCATCAGGATATTCTGGAGCTGCTTTGTGCTGAGTGAAGACACTGAACTATAGTATGTCAGGGCTGCAGTTTTTCAGGAAAGAGAGAAGAGCTAGAGAACATACCTAGAGTCTTACCAGGATTCGCTGAAACAGTAAATTGAGTGTAGTAGTTAAACTGGCTGTCAATTATGAATTGGTATGTTAAATGCAAAGTTACACCATTTCATTTTGACTTTTTTTTTCACTCCCATTGACTGTTATACTTTTATCATTGATTGTCAGCATTACTCATTAAATGCACACAATGCATTCAAGTATTTTTGACTACTGCACTTTTTTCATTTATGTTGGAGAACCCTACATTTTTTCTACTTACTAATGTACATTCAGTACCTCAAAATGACTAAGCAAAAACAAGTTTTGTTATTTTTTCCCCATTCTACTCTCTAAAACTCTGTTAGACAGCAAAAAGTAGTTTCTAATGTCTCCTTCAAGACTTTTGATTGGATACAGTTCAGAAGTCACAGAGCAAGAGTTTGTGTTTGCAGAGAAATTCATATATTTGTGATAGTTGTAGTGTAGCAGTATTCTGTAAGAGCTCTTACTCTTGATCAAAAGTCTCACAAAGTGTATGCAGGACAGATGAAAAACAAATGTGGTCTTAATGCCGACTTTGGTTTCATCTTTTAGCAGCCTATAAGTGACTATGTCTTTATCTGTGACAACAGGACTGCTCACCTTGCTGTTAATAGTGTTGGAGTGGACCCGACCAGGCCTTCTATCCCCTCTGAGGCCAATCTGTGACCTGAGGGTCCTGGACCATTTCATCAAGGAGGCACGAGACGCTGAAGTGGCTATGGTGAGAGGAAAATGTATGCATGGACTCAGACATATTTTGATCCTGGAATCCTCAAACTGAACATTGAAGTTCCATGACAGAAAAGTTCTCCAAACACTCACATTCTTACTTTGTGCTTTTACTAGAAGTCATGCAGGGAGGGATGTAGCCTGTCAGAGTCTGTCACTGTTCCCCAAACCAGAGTGGATTTTGATGTGTGGGAGAAGAAAATTGTAAGTAACCAGTGGATACAGCTGAAACAGCCAACAGCAAATAAAGAAAGGCTTTGAAATGCAATTCAAGTTTAAAGAAATATGCATTTTTTTAAATTTTTATCAACAAAACTACCTTTTGCTTTGAAAGTCAAGTTAATTTAAAAAAGTGAGCCAATAATGTACTTCTTTTGTTTTTAATCCCTTGCATAATGAGACTCCTCCACTTTTGTCTTCTTTTCTTTTTAGGCTTTGGAGAAAGCCCAGGAGGTGCAGATTGGCCTATGGTTACTAAAACAAGCCCTGAGCTTGCTACGGACATCAGTCACCAATACAGCTCTTCACGGCCATATAGACAGCTCCATCAGAAACCTGCTCAGCATCAGTGCTGTGCTGCGCAGCCTTAACATCCAGGTGAGCTGCAGCAGGTACGAAGGTGTAAAATAATTGTTCAGGAAGTGCAGAGGCAAGTGACTGGTAAAATGGTAAAAAGACTTTGTTTATGTAGTACTATTATTTACATGTCCAATTCTCCCATTCACATCACTATTACACACTCATGGCAGCCACTGCTTTGTAAAGCACCCTCCAGTTCACATGCTACAGGTACAGTCAGTAGGGGGCGTTTGGGGTCAAGTGTCTTGCCCAAGGACACTTTGGCATGTGGTCAGTGGGACCTAGGTTTGAACCCCTGACCTTCCTACTGAGGACAACTGACTTTACCACTGAGTGTCAGCCACCCCTTGTATTTTAATTAACTTCTGAAACAGAGTAAAAACCTTATCTTCACTTAGAAAGATAACTTTGCTGAGAGAGAACACAGTTCAGCTTCATGTTTTTCAAGTTTTCCATGATTTGGAAATTATTTTAACTATTTAAGAAGAAACGGCATCTTTTTTTGTTCTTCTATTTAGGATACAGTGTTTAAACTTGAAATCAGATTTAGTTTCTAAAGATAGGGCATAAGACATTGATAGAGAAGGTCTTGTAAAGATGTCATAAGACATTGTGACTACAAGCCTTTGGGCGCTGCAGCTGCTGTTTGTACTTATTCTTAGACTACAGCCTGAAAAGTTTCAGGTCTAAAACTCAAGCTGAATGAACAGTCTGTGTCCTGGCTAAGGGAATACCAGGAACACTGAACAGTGTTCTCACATATGAAAACAAAGACACATTTCAAACGAGGGGTTAGAAAAAGTTTACGAAGCTTGCAAAGGTTACATTGTGATCCTGTCCTCATCAAGCGATCATCAACACGACAGTGTTTCTAAGACTTTCTTGTTGAGATTAGTTCGCTCTTTGGGCATTAGGTGTTAATATATGAAGTTTAACCTCACTAACCAGGTGACCATGAATCCTGTTAGTTTAAGTTAAATCTCAGTGGAAAACCTTGTATGGTTCTCAAATGTTTTTGGAATGGTAATGAAAAGTATTGTGGTATTAGAAGGTCATGAACTAGGTTATGAGCATTTATTTGATCTTTCTATGAGTTATTATCGTTGCTAATAATAAAAGAAAAAGTGCTCCATCACCATCTCTCAAAGCACTTCCTGAGACACTTACTGTTGGATCCTAACAAACCAGACCTTTATGTGCTTTTTTAGGGAGAGAAAAGACTTTCAACAAAAAATTCCATAACTTTGCTGCAAATAACATGACAGTTCAAATTTTATGAAAGAACTTGTTTTTTTCTTAAACATAAGACCTATCTAACAACTGCAGTCGCATTTCTAGAGAAAAGCAACCTCCTGGGAAATTTACCACCATATCACTGCATAACATATCAGTTATGCTATTTTGTGCTATTTTACAAAGAGAAAACTCACAGAAATCCTTTTGTTTAGCTACATCAACCCCCCCTGGTTTCGGTTTAACACTTAATTACTTTTTCAAAAAATTCAATAAATCAAGTCTTTCTGTATTTTCTTCCCTAAAGCACTGAAACCCTAAATATAATCTGCTGTCAATTTGTTATAAGGAGTCTGTACTTTCTTGCCCTCTGCCCATAATTCTGCATGGAGCTTTAAGAAAGCATTTAGTACTTTGTATTTCATCGATGCAGCTCTCACAAAACATGAACCTGCTGGTCATTTTGATCAAGTTTCTTGTAAAAAAATTGAAGTTGTTTATTATCATGACCCCAGAGTGTCCGCTGCCAACAATTTCATATCCAAAATTCAGTGGTCTGTCTTCCTCTCCCTCTCTGATTCTCTGTGAACCCAAAAGCAAGACTGGCTTCATCATATTTCCTTGACTGACACTTGCCTTTATTGTCTGTGAAGATTAAGTCATTCTGTCAGGTGTGTTTAAATGAACACTATTGTTTGTGTGCTTGCCCGGTTTGTTTATCCTTCCACTGTGAAAACAGTTCAGCATTAAAATAATAGTTCTGATTCACATGATTCACCTGGCCACATACTTATATTTTTTTCTTCTTCTTTATTTCTAAATTATCTTAAAATCAAGCACTATAAAAGGATGCCAAATTCCAAAATTAGACAAGAACCTTGTGTTTCTTTGTTTTCCAAACAGGAATTCACCCCACCAGACAGTGCAACAGGGCTTGAGGGAACATGGACAGTGTCCTCATCAACAGATTTGCTTCAAGTCCATGTCAACTTCCTTCGAGGCAAAGTGCGCCTCCTTCTTTTAGATGCACAAGCTTGTCAGCAAGATGTCAGCTGACCCCCCTCTTCCAGGTGAAGCCAATTTGTTTCCTAAGGCATGAGAAGGGACTAGTCTCTGCTGATCTGCATGCTGACTGCTGGAAGCAGTGGGGAGAGAGAAAAAGGTACACCCACCCTTAAACAGGGGGAGGAAGCTGGAAGAGGAGAACAGCCTCAGCTCGGCTTTGGATGGTCAGAATTCAGCTGCACTTTGGAATGTAGATGTCAAGCATGAACATGATGAAGCACACACTAATCATACAATGTCTACAGGAAACCTAACTCCAATAGTTGTTTCATTGGCACTTTTTTGCACTTTGTGTGAATGTACCTTTGTGTGTGCCGGTCAGGACTCTCAGTTTAAATGTAAATGTACATAGTGTCTATGTATGTGTGACTGTTTCCAGGAAGCTTCACCACCTTTAGCCTGAAGTGTGGATTATACAATGGTTGGTTCTGTCCACATAATCTAATTGGGCAAGATGCATTCCTCAAATGCTGATATACGTCCAGTACTGCATCACTGGGGCTTTTCACTGTGTATCACTCCACCTCAGCCAAGCCCTCTGAAGGCTTCAGCAGATGGCCTTTGCCAAGACTAACCTCTGAATCACACATGCCATCAAAGCAACAGACAACAGATTGATTGATGTAAAAAATAAGAAGTCGCTGTTCTGTGGTAATGTGTAGACACACACAAAGCAGCAACAGTGCTGGAGAGCATATAGGCATTAATTGGCAATAGTGGAGTATCAGTTGTGTTTTCAGAGGCAGTTCTGTCAATCAGTCAGAACACACCAATACTTAATACTCTAAGCTGCTTGTAGAACTGTTGTTTAAAAGGAATGTCACGTATAAGGTTGTGGCACTGGGACTACCTAACTGAAACACAGCCGTACTCACATTCAGCACATCTCACGTGAGATTTTGCTTGAGTAAAGCACACAGAAAGTATTGATGCACCTGGAAAATAAAGGACTGTCAGATTGCAATAGTGTATCCATTTCCAATACCAAGAATGAGGCTTCATCCCAACAACCTGTTATGTGTTTAACTGTGCCGCACCGAAATAGGAGTCTTTTTTCTTCAATATTTTTTCAGTGGATAATTTAATATAAAATGTTTTGTAGTCATTATTTATAAACGTCTTTTTTACTTAAAGCTCTAGTATTGGATTTTTTTTTCTGCTTTCAAAAAGTGTAGCTCTCATGTTCCCTTGTTGCACACTGAAAACATTTGCAAAGGCAAGTTGGTGTCTTTTTTGTATTTTATATTCCAGACTTAATGTTTAAAGTTTCATATTGCTACGAAATTACAGGAGGGAGGTTAAATAGTTAATGCATAGATTGAGTTTGGTGGACAGGAGAACATGAGGTCTGCTGCTCCCTCACAGACTACACTAATCTCTACTTACAAATAGCCAGATTGTCTGGAAAAAGAAGCTGTTTGGCTTTTGAGAGTGAACATCCTGTGAGGCTGTGATTGCAGTTTTACAGAATCTGACGTGAACTCGGTCTCTTTCCTCTTGTTCGTCATCACACAGCAGACAGGCAATCAGCTAGTCCTGGGAACTAGAAGTTTCCAGTGACATGAATTGCAAAATGATACCCAACCAGTTAAGTGCTCTTCCTTGTTTTTTCCTTATTTTTAATTTTTTTGTGCCAGTGGAACTTGTTTTTTAAGGATGTTTGTACATGTTTTCTTTCCTGTTGTTTTTTAGTTGTTTTGTCCCATGACTGTATAATTTACTATTTAAATACAAAATATTATTCTTGGATAAAGAAAGACACAATGCAAACAAAGAGGAACTACGTTTGTTCCATTCATTCTTGTTCTCATCAGTGCTGACTTCTGCAGCTCAGATGCTTTACTCAAACTGCCATCACAGATCTAAGTGGTCCTCCTGCTCAGTATCCTGATTCTGTCAATCTTAAGTGATATTTATTCTGACATGAAACCACAAACACAGTCTCGGTGGAATCGTTTTCATTTGGACAAAAGCACCACCAGCAGTTCACCAAAATTGTTTTAATTTCAAAAGATGTGCAACACTGACATCTAGTGGACATTCACGTAAACAACAGCAGCTTGTAAATTTGAGAATTTGTTATTCCTCTAAGGTTTTGACACGCAATCCTTCTGTTGTAGACACTCGCTTCAACAATCAGGCTTCAAAATTAAAGACACCTAAATAATTTCATTTGGCACAGTTTAATCTAAACAAATAAAAATGTGCTGATAGTTCAACTATCCAGCACTACTGCTGCTTCAAGACATGCACACTAACAGATGGTTACAATTTACAACTGATATAGTATAATAAAAGCACGATATGCAGTGTTTTCAGTTAACATAGGTTGTTCCAGGTTGAGAATTAACAGTCAGTGTGAAGTCCTCTGGTTCAGTCATTATGGATCTCCATTTGAAGAGTCCCAGCTGACCACACTTTGATTTTGTCCACTAATATTTGAAGGAATCAACCCTTTTAGGTTACTGGGGGTCAGGGTAAAAAACCTTAATGTGAATGGCAGAGTTGTTGCGTGTACGTGTCATTGGCTCTGCAGCCTCATCCGGATCTTCAGGCTCCAGGTCATCCACAAGCTCCACAGTGGAGGTGTTGGCCGCCAGCTGCAGCACCCCTTGGCTGCTGGCCTGCAGCTGAAGGGCAATATTGATGGCCCTGTTGATGGCTAGACCCAGGCCATGAACGCAGATCTCTCGGTGACCCCCACCTTCCAGAAGCTTCTGACAACGTGCCAGCTGAGCCCGGAAATCAGTCTTCATGTTCACATAGACATCATTTCGTCTCTTTGGGAGTTTTCGGGGAAGGCGTTTTCTGAGTGTGTATTCTACTGGATCCATCTCCACAGCAGGAGAACATGACTCGGGGTGCGCCTGGGCTGTCTGGGAGATAGAGGATATTCCTGGGTTGCGTGACTCTGTCATGTTTGTAGTTAATGTCTATTTGTTCAGCAATAAATGGGGCTGAAAACGAACAAAGTAGGAGATGGAATTAGTAACGCACATTGAAGAACTGTGGGCATGGTACACTAAATCCTTAAAGAAACGTATAGATTTATTTCAGGTTCTCCTTAACAATTGACTCTCATCGTCAGGTGAACGTGTTTTTTAATTAAATGGGAGCTCTGTAACCTGAAAGTAAGCTAACAGACATCTCCATTTTTATCATCTGACCTGCAGTCCAAACTTAAAGATGTTTAATATCTCGTGTCCCCGTAATACTATCAGAGACCAGTTTTTTAGTCATTTGGAGGAAAGTAAAGCTTTATTATTCACACAACTATCAGTTCTCAGGCAATAGCATGAACTAAGAGCGACTCGTCTGTATCTCAGCAAAAGCAGCAGGTTAGCTCAGCTCGGTAACACAGAAAGGGGTTGAGCATTAACCAAACACATTATCCGTATAATGAGCACACTTACCTTCAGAGGGTGTAATAATCAAATTTATTCAACGGCGCCGCTAACATCTCAAATACACATACAGCTTGTGGCTTGAACAGCTGCGGTCGCTTCTTCTTCTTCTTGATATTGTTTTACAGCGGATGGCAACCAACGTTAGAGGTGCATTACCGCCACCTACCATGCAGGAGTGTGAGGCAGAGGTCACTCCCATCGGAAAATAAATTCATATTTAGACTAAATTCTGTTTATCAGTTCTGTTTGCTTTAAAAACTCAAACACAGCTTTATCCTCTCTTTTTCCCAGACTAAATAAATTCGTAAGGTTACATACTGTATTACCACTTTCCCGTAGTTTCCTTATAAGAATTTCTCTGTGATTATTATACTTTTGACACTTACATATAGCATGTTTCAGAGTTTCATCCTCACTCCACAGCCACATTTCCCTTTTGGATGTTTTCCAATTAAATGCATAGCTCTGTTTAATTCAGTGTGACCTTGTCTTAACCCTCACATACTGTTCGGGTCAAATTTGACCCATTTTGACTTTTAACAGCAGTAAAAATACCCTAAACATCATTTTTTAAGCCTGAAACTTCATGACTTTTCCTGAAGTTGCCCAAAATACATGAAATTAATTAAAAAATATTCATGTGTATTTTTGTTTACATGCTACAAACTTTTCGCCTCTAAGGCTGTTACAGGTCAAATTTGACCCGTATCTATTTAGATGGGTTTTAGATCTAGCAGTGTGGGACAAGTGACAAACAGTAACAACAGTGTTCAATATAAGGTTTGTTGTTCAAAAAGATATATTCAAATCATTATGAAACTATCATTACCTTGACAGAAACACACACACACACACGCACGCACACAGACATACAGTCACAAAGACACACCTAGACAGAGGTCAAAATGACCTAACTAGTCAAGAGAACTTTCTGTGACAGAAAGCTGCTCTTTGAACTCTTTGAAGGGGCAATTTTGACCTGGAACATACTGTGAGGGTTCAGGATTTGAACAGTATGTGAGGGTTAATCTTGACATAACTGTTTGTTCCCTGATAGATTTTCCTATAATTTCCATACTACCCACTTTTTGCTTAATTCCATAAAGATGTCTTCCTTTATTACCTATCTCCCAACAATTTTGCCATTCACTCATGATTCTGCTCTTCATTGATGCCTTTGCTGCTGAATTACTAAATGTAATTTCAATAATTCTGTTGTGTGTCGGTGCTTGTTTTGCAAGAAAATCTGCCATTTCATTCCCCGCAATAAGTCCTTGTGCCGGTACCCACATGAATCTGACTGCTGTCCCTTGATGGTGTAGCCTGAATATTGATTCTAGAATTTCATAGAGAATATCTGGTCTGCTATGAGACGACATGGGCTGTAATGATACAAGAGCTGACAATGAGTCTGAGCATACAATGATCTTTTTGACTGTGTTATACTCCCCCCAATGTAGCGCCATTGCAATAGCTAGCAACTCAACTGTATATACTGATAGATGATCAGATGTTCGTTTCTTGACATTTACATGTACGTATACATGGTATAACAAAATACTTCCATTTTTAGTTTCCTTTGATCCATCTGTATACATTGCAATAAATGACTCGTGAGGTTTGTAATCTTTTTTCCGCAATCTATGGCCAATTTCCTTTTCCTTTCCTTCTTTTCATCTCTTCATGTACAAATACACTCACCGGCCACTTTATTAGGTACACCATGCTAGTAACGGGTTGGACCCCCTTTTGCCTTCAGAACTGCCTCAATTCTTCGTGGCATAGATTCAACAAGGTGCTGGAAGCATTCCTCAGAGAGCTTGGTCCATATTGACATGATGGCATCACACAGTTGCCGCAGATTTGTCGGCTGCACATCCATGATGCGAATCTCCCGTTCCACCACATCCCAAAGATGCTCTATTGGATTGAGATCTGGTGACTGTGGAGGCCATTTGAGTACAGTGAACTCATTGTCATGTTCAAGAAACCAGTCTGAGATGATTCCAGCTTTATGACATGGCGCATTATCCTGCTGAAAGTAGCCATCAGAAGTTGGGTACATTGTGGTCATAAAGGGATGGACATGGTCAGCAACAATACTCAGGTAGGCTGTGGCGTTGCAACGATGCTCAATTGGTACCAAGGGGCCCAAAGAGTGCCAAGAAAATATTCCCCACACCATGACACCACCACCACCAGCCTGAACCGTTGATACAAGGCAGGATGGATCCATGCTTTCATGTTGTTGACGCCAAATTCTGACCCTACCATCCAAATGTCGCAGCAGAAATCGAGACTCATCAGACCAGGCAATGTTTTTCCAATCTTCTATTGTCCAATTTCGATGAGCTTGTGCAAATTGTAGCCTCAGTTTCCTGTTCTTAGCTGAAAGGAGTGGCACCCGGTGTGGTCTTCTGCTGCTGTAGCCCATCTGCCTCAAAGTTCGACGTACTGTGCATTCAGAGATGCTCTTCTGCCTACCTTGGTTGTAACGGGTGGTTATTTGAGTCACTGTTGCCTTTCTATCAGCTCGAACCAGTCTGGCCATTCTCCTCTGACCTCTGGCATCAACAAGGCATTTCCGCCCACAGAACTGCCGCTCACTGGATATTTTTTCTTTTTCGGACCATTCTCTGTAAACCCTAGAGATGGTTGTGCGTGAAAATCCCAGTAGATCAGCAGTTTCTGAAATACTCAGACCAGCCCTTCTGGCACCAACAACCATGCCACGTTCAAAGTCACTCAAATCACCTTTCTTCCCCATACTGATGCTCGGTTTGAACTGCAGGAGATTGTCTTGACCATGTCTACATGCCTAAATGCACTAAGTTGCCGCCATGTGATTGGCTGATTAGAAATTAAGTGTTAACGAGCAGTTGGACAGGTGTACCTAATAAAGTGGCCGGTGAGTGTAAGTCTATAATGACCGGCGGTAAAAGCCATGTAGGTGTTACTGGAAAAGGAACTGCAGGACAAAATTCCCTCCCATAACATCCCATTTCCACTGCCAACTTATTCACAATCCAAGCATAGCACTCTTTCTTTGCTCTTCTGCTTTCCCAGCATGATTGAATAGCTACTACAGCTGGGTGATCTTCCCTGTTTCCTTGTTAATGAAAAATAATAATTTCACCTGTGGTCTCTTCTTCTGCTTCCCTTCTTTTTTTTTTGGCGGTTAGCAAACAGCTTTGAGGTGCAAACCACTGCCTACAAGGATGTGTAGTATCAAATCACATCCAGATTCGGGCTGACAGCCTTGCTAAGTCTCACTGTACCCAGATAGCACACGTATGTTGTGCTATCTGGGTAACATCTGATGATGGCCCACTACTGGGTTAACATTAAAGGGCAAGGTGATGAGCACCCTGCAAAAAATGTACTGCAGATTTGTTGGGAGAAGGCCAGAATGCCAAAAGAAAGTTTCAGGTGGAAAGGAAATGAAATGGCTAGAGATATGGGTGTGTTTGAAAAGGAGTTTGCAAAAACTGTAATGTGGCCTGAAAAGACCTATGGCTGTATGAGAAGTGAACAGTAGCTGTTGCAGATTAAGAAAACTAATAAGAAAGCAGTGCGAACGTAGAGAGAATAGGTGTGTGTGTGTGTGTGGGGGGGGGGGGGGGTTAAAGTATTCTTGAATGTGCAGAAGGTGCACGAGGAAAGGAAGGAGGAGAAGAAGAAGAAGAAGAAGCAGCAGCACACACACACACACACACACACACACACACACACACACACACACACACACACACACACACACACACACACACATATGGAATTTTCCTTCTGGGATTAATAAAGTTCTTCTTATTCTTATTCTTTTTTCTTATTCTAACACACACACACACACGCACACACACACACACCCAAAGCCCCATTTCCAGGGTTTTGCAGCGTTTTATAGCACACCCTGCCTTATAGCTTTTACCATCTCTTCTAAAGTAAAAAGCTCATTAAGTACATTATTAGCTCTCTTATACTGGAACAGATGCTGTTGGAGGAGTGTCCTCTAAACGAACCTAGATGCTCTATTCCTTTCCCTCACCACCTGCTGGCACTTTTCAGACCAGCATCCTCTTCCTTCCTCCTCTACTCTGAGGAATTGCTCCTTCTGGGGCCTCTATAACCCTCTCATTAACCTCATCAACCTCCCACGATAGGTCAACTCTCCTTACAATCTCTTCACTAGTCATAATCACTCCAGTCTACCTTCCCAAACACCCATTGAGAGTTACCATCCCCTATACCCCCAGTCTCCCTTCCCAAACACCCATTGAGAGCTCCAAGCATTCCACTGTAAGAGAACCACTGTGATTATTTCAAGAGATCTGTGAGTCTCAGGCAGCCTGTAGGTCCCCTATGACAGTCCCTTTACTCCTAGGTGAGTCACTGCTGTCTTAACCACTAGCTGGATGGCAGCCATTTTAGACACAGCCCATATGTGCAGTTTATAACACCTGCTATGAAGATGACCAGCGCTTTCTTTTCCACGTAAATCCTGTCAGAGAACTGTCTCTCTACTTCTTGGACAACCACCTTCCTCGCCTCATTCCCGCTGGTCGATGTACCCTGTCGTCTCACCACCTTCCCAGCTTCTGGGTAGGAGAGCCCTCCCTCCCAGCTCTCACCTTTTGGACTTGTGACTTACTCTGCATAATCTCACATCTCCCTAAAAAAACTTGCAAGTACAAGTGAAATCATCAAAATAAATGCTTTATTTTGAAAATAATTACATCTCATGAATACACTTCACACAGTTATCAAGACAATCAGGTATGAAACCTGCTTTGATAGTCTACAGGGCGGATTTATAACTGTAGAAAGGCACTCCAGACAGTGATAATAATGAACTCAGACAGCAAATGAGGGTCAACTAAGGGCCTGTGCTGCTGTACCTGTGTTGATTTACTCCCCTGAACTCAGCTGAAGATGTGCAGATATTTGGGTCCTTAGTGAGAATTCAAAAACTCAGAAAATGGCACATGGTAGCAGAACTGTACCTTATATCTTAAATCAGAGGATGTGCCATATCAAGTAGTTGACCTAAAATCACTGAGCTGTGTTTTATTATTGCTTCAAACGAGGATGGCGATGTGTAAAGAAAATGCGAATGAAAAAGTCCTTATGTTGTCATATTAGTTCGCCTCTTCAAGTGCAGCTCCAAACGTAACATAGACCAGAAAAAGTCCCTTATATTGTATCTTAACTTTCATCTATTCTAGATTCATCACACACAAAGTGAAAAATTTCAAGACTCTGTTTTTCTTTTTTCGTTTGAACCTTGATGGTTATGGCTCCCAAAATAAAATAAAATAAATAAATAAATAAAAATCGTTCGCAATCTCAGAGCTTCAAAATATTGTTTAAAAATTTCTTGTCAGTTCTTTCAGTCCTGAGAAGAGCTCTTATCTGCTCATGAACTTTGAACACCTGCAGAGGTTTCAATCAACCACAATCAATCAACTAGAAAAGCACTCGGAGAGCGCAGACCTCTGCAAGGCAGCTCATGTCCCCCCTTATATTGTGATTCACACCAAAACTTTTACTGTTACGTGTCTTTGATTAACTTTTATTTGTGTTTAAACTGGTATGTTCACTGTTCATAATGTTTCTAAAACAACAAAGCTCATATTAGATACATAAATGCATGATTTATTATGCAATATTTGTAAGCTTACACTTCCTTGTATCTTCATTGTTTATCTTTCAGCATTAAAAATTCCAACGACACCCTTATTTTTGAGTGTTCTGGATCACAGTATCCGGAATTTTGTCTGGATCAGGTTCAACCTTTGACACCTCATAAAACTCATTGAGATCCTTTTGTGTAATTTTTTACTAAAGACTCTGGCCATTTTTATAGAGTTCAATGGAAATATCCCAAAATTTGCCTTATCTCACAATGATAAAGAATCCTTTAAAAAATTCCTGGATCCAGAAGGCAATCGGGATCACCACCAAAATGTAATGGGATCCTTCTGGGGCTGAGACGCATCTCTGGTGAAAATTTCAGGTCAATCCTTCAGTAACTTTCTCCGTAAAGTTGGTAACAGACAAACAAACAAACCAACGCTACCAAAAACATAACCTCCTTGGCGGAGGTAATTAGGCGACTCTTTGGAAATCAAGATCACATAGTCTGGAGAAGGACCGAAGAGGCCCAGAATCCAGGTTACTTTAAGTCCAGTGTGAAGATTCCACAGTCTGTGATGATTTGGGGCGTCGTGTTATCTGTTGCTGTTGGTCAACTGTTTTTTATCATGTCCGGAGTAAACACAGTCTAAAGTCTTCCAGGAGATTTTAGAGACCTGAATGCCTCCATCTGCTGAGAAATTTGATGGAGATACAGACTTCCCTTCAAGCAGGACCTGGCACGTACCCACAGCACCAAACTACCAAACTACCAGAAACTGGTTTGCTGACATTGGGCTCTATTTTCGTGCCCGCCGGCGTAATGTGTACAAGTCACCAGTGCCTCACAGGCAGGTTCACACGATCTCATTTCAGTGCAATAGATAATCAACAACAACCACTATTCAGTGCAACTATCTGAGTCAGCACATACATTTCAATCTATATCTTTATATTCTGATCTATATCTTATCTGGCTGCCTCCAGTCCCCTCCCTCTCTACTACGTATGCCGCTGGGAGGAGCTGAGTTGGGGAGGGGGGATACTTACGCCGGGCTGTGCCGCTCACCAAAATACCAAAGTGTGCTTGGGCATGCCTCATTGGCGCGGCGTGACTCAGGTCCACCGCAACTACACTGCGCCACCGGTGAGGCACGAAAATAGTATTACTGTGTTTGATTGGCCAGCCAATTGCTCTGACCTGAACCCCATAGAGGATCTCTGGAGTATCTTCAAGAGTAAGATGAGAGACACCATAGCAACAACACATTCACAGTAATTCATGTAAAGGGAGCTAACAGAGCATAAATAAAAATATTTTTCAGGAGGTTGATATTTCTGTTATAAATCCTGTTTTTTGGATTCGCATGTTGTAATATTCTTGTGTTTTGAGAAAGAGGATACTGACTTTCATGAGATGTTTTCATCTAAATTAAAACAAAAAAAGTCTTGAAATATTTCACTTAGCGTGTGATGAATCTAGAATAAATGTAAGATTCACTTTCTGAATTAAAATGAACTTTTTGCAAAATTCTCAATTCTTGAGCACACATATGCATGTCTATGTATCTATATATTTATATCAGTGGATTTCTTCATTGTAATATTGCTTACATTATCATCGTTAAATTTCATGTATACAGCATTTTTTCAAGAAAGTTGTTTCTTGAGAATAAGGTGCAGTTTCTCTTTCTGTTCTATATAATTTAGAGCTCATTAAATATATGTCGTATTAAATTTGAACATGACCTACAGATCAGATCAAGAAAGGAAAATTTTCAATACAGTCTGCAGTGTCGTCACTGCTTTCCTTCTAAAGGCTTTCTGCCTCCTTGTGGAAAACTTTCCCATCAGGCTGCTCTCTCCACTTCAGGGTGACTCCACTCAGCCCACTCTCCTTCAGCCTGTCCTGGAGCTGGAAACATAAGTCATTTTTATGCATCAGCTCAATTCTGTTGTGTTTTTGGAAGCACCATCTGTCTAACCTGCTGTCTACAGCAGCCCATAGGCTGTGTCAAGTGTCAATCACAGAAAAAGTAAACCCCTAACTTTTAAAAATGGAGCTGCACAGATAAAAGAGTAGCCTGGCTGGGCCATCCTGTTGCGTGAATCACTTGCCGTTCCTTCCCACAACAGTCTGGACTTCGGCCCATTGGGAGCGTGTATTAGCGATCAGAAAATAACCGAGCCAATCAGTGACTGTGTTTGTGTGAAGGAACGGCAAGTGATTCACGCAACAGGATGGCCCAGCCAGGCTAATAAAAGAGGACTTGAACACAAAACAGTTTAACAATAAATACATGTCAACATCGCAACCAGGGGAGAGAAAGAATTATATTCTGTGGAATTAATTTCTAAAGTTTGTTCTCAGCCCTATTAAATTTCAGGATTTATGACCTATCCTGCAGCCCGCCACCAGAGTGTGCTGTTCTCGTAGAGGCTTCACCCACCAAGGAGGCAAAAGACATCCATTTTATATACGGTCTGTGCTCTGGGCCCACCAACATGTTCATCACACAGCTACACTGTAGTGCTCATTAAGCATTCATACCATTAAGGAAATTTGTTCTAGACTAGTTTACACATGCTCCTTAGTCAAACACACACACACACACACACACACACACACACACACACACACACACACACACACACACACGCACACACACACACACCTCTTATTGAAGCACATCACATGCTGTGGCCTGCTGTGGCCAACAACCTGGGGTAGGTTGTAACAAAGGATCACCGTATTATTAAGTTTGAATTGGTGCCATTTGTAGTAAACAAATGTGGGTACTTTGTATTAAAGTTTGAGACCTCTAACTCAGTGAGTTAAAAGTGTTAAAGCAAATAGTGTTGTAACCATACCTGGTCTCTCCTACACATTTCTCGATACTTACCTTTTGGAGGGTGTCTGCTTTCACAGCAGGATCATTCAGATCTGTAGAAAAGTTCTCTGGCCTCATCTTCAGCTGTATCACCTTCCTCTGGTACATAGTCTCTGGTACACTGACAGGTGCATTTGAATCTTCTGATACATTATTGCTGCCTTCTTCAGCCTCTGAGAACAGTTTGAGAGAAGATTTTCTTATATAATGCAGCTAAATCTCCCTTTTACCTTAGGACAGTCTACTTACCGGTTGGAGAGTCACCGTAGCACACAAATGGGAATTTAGTTTCACAAGACTTCAGCTTCCATTTTCCTAATTTGAACATGTCTGCTGTTGAACATATCACACTCCCAGAGCTCAACTGATGTGGAGCATTGACCCAGAACTGGAATGTCAAGTTGCTCCCATCAGACCAGTGGAGCTGAGGGTCTCTGTACAAACCAATCCATGGGTGAATGTCATTTGGTATCAAGTCGTAGATCAGATCGTTCTCAGCGTTGCTCTTCACAGTGGCCAGGTCTACATAATTCTCTCTGCAGAAACTCTGAGCATCAGTCCAGTTCAGTCTTGTATTGACATAAACAAACTCAGGATTCTCCAGGGTTCCTGCAGTTAGAGAGTGGGAAGTTGAGAAATAGTCCACATGAACTTCTAGAGAAACCAGTCTGAAAATAAAAACATCTCTTGGCAGGGGCATTTCTAAACTCCTTGAAATCTGAGTGGTCAACTCTTGTGCCATTCTAAAATCATAAACTATGATAAGCTACATTTGGACAGTCAGCCCGGTCGAAAAGGCTAAGTCTTCACCTTCACTTACCTCTGTAACAGATGAAGAATGTCAATTCATCACAGTAATAATCCCACCATGTTCCGTCATATGAAACATCCACACAGAACTCAGCGCCTCCGTTATTGTCTGGTTCACTGGCAAACTCAATCTCCCAGTTCCTGTAATCCGCACCAGGTCCTGTGTAGCCGTCTGACCATTTCCATTCAATTTTACTGTACAGGCCGATCCAGACCAAAGAGTTGTCATTATAAGGAAAAACTGTGGATTTGAATGTACCCAGTTCGTCCATGTTTTCAATGGTAGCCAGGTCTGTGTGCATTTTTCTGCAGTAGGCTTGAGCTTCATTCCAGGTCATTTGGTCAGGGAAATAGTAGTAATGACGGGAAAGGCAGGAGAAGATGCTCCAGCCTGTGAGGAGTAAAACAGACAAACAAATGTATTTCATCACTCATCACCTGCTTTCACCCCCATTTTGTTGTCTATTGTCTGATAGCATCTTCCTCTCATGGCCTTTTTGTATCTAAATTATCCCTATCAGTTCAAAAATGTCACTCCTAACCTGGAGCCCTTGGACCCACAACATACCCAACTCAGTATCCCTTGTTTCCCACTTAATTAACCCCATTTCCTTTCCTCTGACACTGTTATCACATTATAACTTTTCAAACTAGTTGAAATTATGGTAAAGCTGTTAGATACAGTTTTCATTGTTTTTTTAAACTCAGATAACACCTACACTTGCATTTCAGTCATGCATTTAATAACCACATCCTCAGGAATAAATAGTATCCATGATCAAAAGTCTGAGTTATATGTGACACCCTCATTAATCAGCAATTAATTCCCCATAAATGTGAAGTTTAATTAATGCTGTCAATCGGCCGATACCAACACTGAACTGATCTGAGAGCTGTTGACAGCTGGAGCAGAAACTTATACGTGCAAGACTGCACAGAGAACCAGAATATCATTAAATAATGTAAATTATTTCCAGTTGAGATTTGGTAAACATGCAATCACAACTGGCTGGTGATTTGATGTCTTCAATCATTCAATAGATTTTTTAACAAAAGTTGTCTGAAATCATTTATGTAGAGAGCAAGTCTCAGCTGTACTGTCAGACATCCTGTTTTAGAAACCTAACACAGGCCTATTGTGAGAAGCACCTAAAAACACTTGACAACAGTGAACAGACAAAACCCTTTTTTGAAGGCAGAAGCCTCGAGCAGAAGCGGACTCTTTTTGAACTGCAGTCAACTTGGACAGTAAAGAATTTACTGACCTGAGAGACACAGGAGACCCAGCAAAGTCCTCTCCATCATGGTCGGTGGTGTTCTGTGGAGTATGATGTCAGAATGCTGCACTAAGAGAAAGTGTGAGGTGTGGTGTCATGAATGAAAGGCAAATTTAAGGGAAATCCAAAAAAAGCTCTGTCTCTGTTTTTGGACCCAGTTTACAATCCTGTGCTGCTCTTAATGCAACAAATTTTGGGAATGGAAATTTCATGAAAATGTTTGGTTAGGCAGTAAAGTTGTTACAAAACCAGGATTTTGATATTGATGCCAGTAGAAAACATGATTACATAACATACTACATATTACAGCAATAAGATGAAGTACAAAGCATCTGAAATGTCAGTTTTGTTATTTTTGTTTCCCTAAACTGCACACAATTTCTGATACAGAAAAAGTATCTGAAAACAGGACACACATTTTGACATGCAGTTAAATGAAAGATAAAATCAATGAGACAGTTCCTTCAGTTGAGAGTCGGGACAAAACATGTCCTACATAGAAAAGTTTAATTTATTCTAAAAAATTAAGAAATTCTAAATGTTTGACATACTCACAAAGTTAAATCTAAAGGATTTGTGCATACCAATTCTATGTTTTAGCACAGATATTTACTTTTTGGGGGGATATTTGTTTAAATAAATCCTCTGTGGTTAGAAGGTCCATGTTATTGCTTGTGTCCTCAGCAAGAGGTCACAATATTGACCAGCCCCAAAAAACTTTAAAAGAAAGTCTACAATTGTGAAAACATATACATCAAATAAAAATTCAGGGCTACAAATATATAAAACAATGCATGGACTGAACATTAAATAACTTTTTGCCTAAAAATCTGCCTATCGAAGTCGTGTCCTCAGTTTCTGTCAACTTCGTCAGATTATTCTATAAACCTCATTAAATCATGCAGCTATATCCCTAAGGACCCCTTTTCATTTCCTGCTTCTGGTGAATGCAACCATAGATATACATAGGCTGTGTCTCATTTCAGAGACCTCATCAGGCTGAGCGCGGTGAAGCACGCTTAGCTGAGCGTACTGCTGTTATGTGGACTTGAGTACCCTGAGTGAGATGGTCCAGTTTTTGTGAAATAGGACAGATTACCCTTCGGAGGACTTCCTGGTTGAGTCGCCAAATGTCCCCAACCTCAGGCTCGCGTCATGACTGACATGAAGAAAATGTGTGTTTATTTACTAGATATTTAATTTAATTTAATGCGGTTTTAGCTGTGTTGATTCGGTCAGGTTGTGTCCAAACACGGGCCAAACGCGCTAATCAGATCAGATATAGATCAGAATATATCGATATAGATCTAAATGTATGTGCTGACTCAGATTAATAGTTGTTGATGATTATTTATTGCACTGAAATGTGCCTGACACTGTGGAAACCTGCCGGTGAGGCATGTGTGACGTATGCCGATACGCCGCCGGTCTACCAAAATACTACTAGACCAGCTGCGCTCCGCCTGCGCTGAAAGCTGACCAGGTTTGAATCGGCGAGCTTTCAGCGCACTTTACACGCCACTGGCGGGCACCAAAATGTCACTGCGCCCGCTGATTCTGTCGACACCTCCCCCTACCACGCCACCACGCCCAGCTTGGCGGATCTCGGCTCGCCTCAGTGTGCCTCAGTCCACGAAAATACCAAACTGGCTGTACGCCGGGCTCCGCCAGACGAAAATACAACTGCGCGGGCTCCGCCACCCTCCGCCGCCTCACCAGCGTACACGAAAATAGAGCCCTTAGTCTTAAAAAAAAAAAAAAAAAGTGTCAATGATACTCTGCTGTAGTTTTGTCAGCTTTCTTATTTCTAATGTTTTTGATTGTGGTAGCAGAGTGGATCACTTCTTTTCTAAAGAGTATAATATTTGGTTTGCAGATTTTAGTGAGTTCAGAGATCATGCGCTCATGCAGCCTGAGCTGACTGTCTGCTGTTTTTGGATTTCTTGTATTTTCTCTGGAGATGCGCATCATGTTTATTGTGTTGCAAATTATATATATGAAACTATGATCTTTAATTGTACAAATCTGATCTTGCTTCCAGACTTTTGGCCTGTAGTGTACATACGCAGGAGAGGGTGGCGGACCCCGCGCAGTGGTATTTTCGTCTGGCAGAGCCCAGTGTACAGCCAGTTTGGTATTTTCGTGGACCGAGGTGCACAGAGATCCGCCAAGCTGGGCGTGGTGGCGTGGCAGGGGGAGGTGTCGACAGAATCAGAGGGCGCAGTGACATTTTCGTGCTCGCCACCGGGCGTATAAACTGCGCTGAAAGCTTGCGATTCGCCACCGATGCCTCACCGGCAGGTTTCCACAGTGTCAGGCACATTTCCATGCAATAAATAATCATCAACAACTAATAATCTGAGTCAGCACATACATTTAGATCTATATAGATATATTCTGATCTATATCTTATCTGATTAGCACGTTTGGCATGTGTTTGGAAACACAACCTGAACAAATCAAATCAGCTGAAACCGCATTAAATTAAATTGAATATCTAAATAGAAAAGTAAATAGACACACATGATGAAGTTAACAAGATATGTAATTCGTCTCCCTCCTTTTCTTTCTTCCTCTTCCTCTTATTTCTCGCGCAGCTCGACCTGGACATGTCTCCGTGTCCTCTCCCTGTCCTGCTGCAGCTGAGCAGATGATTTGTTTCAGTGATCAGATGAGTTATTTATTTTAGGCCTACATACGAATATTATAATATAATATTCAGTTTTGTGAGCCAAATTTATTTTATATGCCAACATCTATGAAAGACAGAGTCAGGCCACGGAGCGCAATGCGTCATTATGCACAGATGGTTCCAATTTTAATGCCATTTTTCGGATTTATGATGTGATCTCTGCGCACAACCCACCTTTGTCACGTGAGGTTTGAATATGTGCAACTTGATATGAGTGTCTTTATTTGTGGAAAAGGGTGTTTGTCTTACCAGTGGGTCCAACATTACACACACCAAATCCATTTGTGCTTATATGAGACAGTGTGCAGGACGCCCTCTTCAGCGCTTACAGTGACATTTGTTGAGGGGCTGTCGCCATCGTGTGGCATTGCTGTCTTCAGACATCTCTTGATCTCTTTGACTACTTCACGAAAATAGTAATATGCCTCGCCTGTGGCAGATTTAAAGGCAAGGAGAGGAGCTTATGTGATTGGTGAAAACAGGTCTCGGCTGTGTTAAACCCACTCAATGCCCTCTCTCCTCCCTCCCTACGACTTACGCCGCTGGGAGGAGCTGAGCTAGGGAGGGGAGATACTGGGCTGTGCCGCTCACCAAGGTACCAAATTGTGCTTGGGAATGTCTTGTTGGCGCAGCGGACCTGACTTACGCTGCGCATGCGCCGCGTCGCCAGTGAGGCACGAAAATAGAGCCCCAAATCACAATCCTTCTACAACCTTCTGTCTTTATACAAGATAACCAAAGAACCTGTCCCAAAAGACAAACTGTCTATCCTTTCTACTTCAAAGAGACAAAGACATTGTTCATGGCTAGCAGGAAGGAACCACAGGACCACTCGATCAGATAGACATCTGTCATCACACCTTGACTGGGAAGCGTCAGGTTTATTAGCTCAGCCATAAACCCTATATTTAGTTGATCTTTCCTGTGCTCTCTGTGAGTACAGTCCAAAGAGAATAACTACAACTAGTTCAATTACAGGTTTGATGGACACTACACAATGATCTTTCAGCTTGAGATATGAGATTAATTAATTTAAGATTAATGTAATGTTTGATTTCTGAATTAAACTTTTGTTTTTCTTTAGTTTCCCACCATTAAGGGTGGGTGGTGCATAAATGTCATGAATAAAGATTATTATCCAATATTAATCTTATGACATACACCCTCATCCCACTTATCCTCCCTCTCCTACACCCCCTCATCCCCCCTGACCTTCCCTACCTAAAGCCACTAATCCACCTTAACAGCCTAACCTAAACCCCTACATCACACCTTACCCCCCCACCTTCACCTCCTCTCTCTACCTTACCTCCCTTACCTGCTCACACACTCACTATGCCGTACCACCCTTACATACCCCCTAACCCTACCTCTCTTACCCTTACCTCCATACTCTACCTTACCTCCCTCACCTCCACCCCACTCATCTCATCTAACCTCCATTACCTTAACCTCATCTAACCTGACCTCCCTCATCTACATTTCCCGCATGATACCTTACCTTATCAAAAAAGAACTTAACCTGTACTAGCAAGTTGCTGTGTGCACATAATGGTGGCTGTTAGCATTTTAGCACATTAACTTCGGTCAGTGAGTTTTTGGGTATGCTAATTGCTCATATGAGATTAAGTAAAAAAACAAATGTACATTTTTGATAAATGAATACAATGAATATTGAAAATATAATTTCTTGCAAGCCCAGAGTAATGGTCCATGACTTCTTGTATAATTCACTTTTTTGTCTTTTTTTTCTGGGCATGTTTGATCTCTCTTTTGGGTCTCAAGCTGAAAAGTTTGGGATCCACTGGCATAGCTACAGATTTCAGATGTTAATTGAGGGGCCTAATCCCACATGTTGTCTATTGGGGTCAGTTTCACACTCCACCTGATAGTAAGAAGCCTGTATGAAGAATCAACCATGCATGTGTATCTACCAGTACTCTGTGCTTATCAGGACCTTGCATAAACGTCATCAAATGCATACCTGCCTGCTGTGTCCAGCCATCTACCTCATCCTACAAACAGTCCTTGACAGTCATGGTGCATTATAAGATGAAAAACTAGACCACAGAGTTGGAAGATTGAACCAGGACCGGGCACAGCTCCTTTGATTAAAACAACATGGAACTGGAAAGAGCCAACACAACCATCGGCAACCTCAAACAAGACATCCAGAAACTCACGGCAGAGCTAAAAGCCAAATCGGAATCTACTCATCGCGTGCATGAGCGTCGCTCTTAGTCAGACCTGCCAGATCAGCTCCCTCTAGGCCTCCCTCCAGGAAACACTTCCGTGGGACCCTGCAAGCCCTCGGCCCTCACCGAGCTCCACACCACATGCTGGCCAGACTGACGTTGTCCACGGTAAAGGAAAAAGCCACCACACTGATGGCTCCCTGATCCGCATTGCCATGACAAGCCACGTTGAGGCCCTACCACAGGCCACTGTGGATCCGGCCGTCGGCCCGACGCAGGAGGAGAATTGCGACACTATCGCCGCTGGCATTCTGGGTCAGAGGCCGATTGCCCGACCATGGCTCGCTTGACTCCCCGGGCCTCCTTGCAGCTGCACCCCCGACCACCGCTAAATCTGGGCCGGCCCCCTGGAGGTTCCCTCACCGTCGCGTCCCTGTCACGCCGCCAACACCCCCCCACAAAACGGGACCGAGGCTATACAGCCTGAGGTGGCTCGTCCACACATCACTGAAAACCCAGCCGCAGACTCCACTCAGCAGACACCAACTGGCCCACCACACACACCACTCTTCCCGCCGACTACAGCCATCATGGGTGACTCCATCATCAAAGGTATCTGCTTTTTCTACGCCATCACTCTGCCTTTTCCTGGCGCTACACTAGCAGACATCACAGACAAAATGCCCTCCCTTCTCCGTACACTCCCTCCTCAGTCCACCGCATCATCCTCCATGTCGGTGTAAACGACACCTCGTGATATCAACGCGACAAAACAAAACATGATTTCAAAAAACTTGTATTGTCTGTCGCCAACTGTGGCAAGTCAATGTTCTTCAGCGGACCCCTGCTGACTGTCCTCCCGCACAAGGAGCGTTGCACCCGACTCCTAACGCTGAGCCGCTGGGCTCAGACCTACTGCTGCGCTCACAAAACCCACTTCATCAACAACTTTCACCCCTTTCACTCCACAGCACCACTACCTCCCAACCACAGCGCCCCTCAAGGCTGCCAACTGAACTATCCCCCTCATCTCCTTTCCACCATGAAACTCATTATTCCCCACTTGCTGGCTCCATCCCCACCATCATCTGCTGCAGACGCCCCCATCAGCCCACTTCCAGAGTGTGCAACCCTACCACCTTCTCGCTCCCCCCGGCCCCCTCTTTTGAACACATCGCCCTTAAACTCCCCGGACCATCACCACTCATCATTACTGTCCTCTACCGCCCACCCAAACCCAACCCCTCTTTCCTCCAGGACTTCTCAGACTTTCTTCTTCAGCTTAGCACCATCTCACCATCCATCCTCCGCCTCAGCGACCTCAACCTCCATCTTGACGACCCCACCTCCCGACCTGCTCAAGACTTTTTGGACATCCTCAACCACTGCAATTTCACCCAACACATTAACTTCCCCACCCACAAGCATGGCCATATCCTTGATCCTGTCTGCTCCACCAACATAACAATCTCCGACATCTCCAGCTACAACCTCCACATCTCAGACCACCTCGCAATCACCCTAGACATTCACATCCATCAACCAAGCCCTACTACCCCAAGGACTATTACATTTCGCAAACTCACCCCCCTCTCCCCAGAACAGTTTGCACTTCAGCTGGTAAACTCCATCCCCACCTCCCCTTCCCCTCCTTCTGCCAATACCGGCGACCTCATCAAGCTGTACAACTCCACCCTCTTGTCCTGCCTCGACAATATCGCACCCATCCACCAAAGAACTGTCTCCTACCGTCGCCCTGCCCCCTTGTACACCCCCAAGCTCAGGGAGATGAAAAGAACAAAACGCCAACTCGAACGCCTCCACAAGAAAACTGGTCTCACTGTCCACCTCCACGCCCTCACCGAGTACATCCACAAATACAACAACACCCTTAACACCGCCCAGACCTCCCACTACTCCAACATCATCCATGCTGGCTCTAGTAATCCCAGATCCCTATTCTCCACAGTCAACTGTCTGCTCGAACCCCAGGATCATATCTCCTCATCATTCACTACCAGCAAATGCAACACCTTCCTCAAATACTCAAAGATAAAATCAACTCCATCTACCACTCCCTTGGCCCCCTGCTCCATCTCCTCCACCACCCTTGCCACCGTCACCTCCTGCCTCAACAAAATAAAAACCTGGATGCACCACAATTTTCTCAAACTCAACAGAGACAAATCAGATCTCATAATCATCGGTCCCAAAACCCTCACCAAAACCACCTCAGACATCTCCATCCACGTTGACCAATCCTGTCATATCACCCCCTCTTCACTTGTCCGCAACCTTGGTATCCATCTCGACCCCAACCTCACTTTTGACCACCACATCTCCCAACTTGCCCGCTCCGCTTTCCTTCACCTGCAAAACATTGCATGACTCCGCCCCTTTCTCTCCCCATCTGCTGCTGAAACCTTAATACACGCTTTCCTCACCACCAGACTAGACTACTGCAATAGCCTCTTCTACGGTCTCCCCTCCACCACCCTCAACAAACTTCAACACATTCAGAACTCCACCACCAGACTTCTCACCCACACCCGCCCATACGATCACATCACCCCCGTCCTCATCACCCAGCCAAAATCAAGCACCGTACTCTGGAGAACCGGGCCTTCAGCGTCTCCGCCCCCACCCTCTGGAATTCCCTCCCTAAACACATCCGTGAATGCCCGGACCTCATCAGCTTCAAATCTGCCCTCAAAACCCACCTTTTCACACTCGCTTTTATTACCTGACCCCACCTGACTCACCACTATCCCATCCCTCACATCTGCCCCTCCCACTTTTATTCTCTTATTCTTTTTATTCGATTTTAGCATGTTACTATTAATCTTTGCCTCATTGTATTTTTATGTTTTTGTTAAGTGTCTTTGAGCTCCTGTAAAAGCGCTATACAAATAAAAAGTATTATTGTTATTATTATTATTATTATTATTATTATTATTATTAATCCCCTCATTTTATTTGCATTTCATCAGACTGGCTCAGAGGAGGACCAGTTTGTGGCACCACCAGGAGAGAGTGAGCCAGTACTCCGAGGAGAGAAGGTAATAAAATGGTTGATGATAATAATAAGGACAATCTACTTTGAAATCCTTGGTTGATATAAGCCTCAATGTCACATAGATTACAATATCACTAGAATGTACAGTACTTTCACCCTCCCTTTATTATTTTCATTTGTACAGACTGGCTTAGAGAGAGACCAGGCAGAGAGGAGTGATATGGACCTCCTCTCAATCTCAGAAGAGGTAATTTAACAAATTTGTTAATTGCAGATTAATGTGAGCCTTTAGTGATGTGTAGAACCTCACACAAAAACACTTAAACATTTAATCAGACTGCATCAGAGATGGACCAGACCATAAAGCTGAAAAAAGTAGAATTAAGTACCTTTTATTTATTTTTTATTTTTATTTTTTCATTTTAGGGCACTCCAGTGAAGGGCAGTTTGGATTTTCCAATGACACCAGTGCAGCCTCAATTGAAATTCCCAACGACTACTTTTGGAACCAGTGTGGGAAGATTCCGTGGTTCTTGGTACAGTGACTATCCTTGGCTGGAGTATGATGTGGCCTTAGACAAGGCATTTTGCCACCCATGCAGGATTGCTTTCCAGTTAAAACTACTCACCTTTTCTAAGTCGAAAGAAGCTGCCTTCATCTCCCAGATTATAAATAACTGGAGTAAAGCCACGGGCAAATTTACGTCACATGAGAAAACGCATGCTCACAACGAAGCAGTCCAAAAACTGAACAGCTACGTTTCCAGTCAGTCAGTCATTCATCTCATGGCAGCTACTACTGCGAAGAAAGCAGAAATATCACAGCAAGGCTTGTTCAAGATCATAGAGTCGCTTCGTTTCTTAGCAAGACAAGGACTTGCCGCTAGAGGGCACACTGATGATGACAGTAACATGCACCAGTTATTGAAACTCCATGCCAGAGACTCAGAGGTCTTGTCAGAGTGGGTTCAAAGGAGGCAGAAGTGGTTAGGCCATGATATTGAGAATGAAATGCTACAGATTATGGGCCATGCTGTACTGCGAGAAATAGAAAAACAGTCAAAGAAAACAAATACTTCTCATTGATTGTTGATGAAACATTATACGTCTCCAACAAGGAACAAGTGTCCATCATGCTACGACATGTAGATCCTAACTTTGATGTGCATGAAGACTTTATTGGGCTGTACACCAGTGGAAGATGTGATACTGCAACTCTTACCTGCCTGATAAAGGATGTCCTTCTCAGACTTGGCTTGTCATTGTTACGATGGTGCCAGTGCGATGTCTGGGATTCACTCAGGTGTTCGAGCTAGAATCTTAGAAGAGCAGCCTAAGGCTTTTAATGTGCATTGCACTGCACATTCTCTCAATCTTGTGTTACAAGAAGCCACAAGGTCAGTGCCCTTTGTTTGTGACACCAAAAATTTGGTCCATGAGATAGTAAAATTTGTCAGAGATTCCCCAAAACGTCTAGCCATATTCTCCAGCATCCAGGTCCAGAATGTAGAACCTCGAACTGCTCTCAGACCACAATACCCAACAAGATGGACTGGTGCAATAACTTCCATTCTCCAAAACCACAGTGAGCTATGTGAAGCACTTGAGATGATGGCTGAAAGTGAGATGGGACCGGGTGGAAGTAAGGCAGCAGGTCTTTTCAAACAGCCTCAGGAGTTCAAAACAGTTTTGGGTCTGAAAGCTCGCCTGAAGGTCTTTGTCATTTCTGAGAAAGTAAGTAGAGCTCTGCAGAACCCAAAAGTGACAGTCTCAGAAACAAAGCGAATGACCAGCACACTGAGAAGTGCATTTGCCTGCCTGAGAACTGACAAAGAATATCTTGCTATCTGGGAAGAAAGTAATGTGATGGCGAAAAAGCTACAATTGGAAGCACCACTCTTGCCCCGACCCAGGAAGTTGTCAAGAAAGAGAGGCTTGGATATCGGGGAAGAAGTTGCACAGATCCAGCCTGAGCCTTCAACAGTTGAGGAACTATTCAGAGTGAAGCACTGGCATCCTCTTGTTCATGTGCTGACTGAAGCTATGGACAGACGGTTTGGGGAATTTGGGACGTCAGTGGCAGCATCGTTGGAACAGCTTGTGTTTAAAAGTGCACCACAGCAGGACTTCAACGAAGAGATTGTCGTTGTTGAAAAACATTAGTAGACAGACATAAATATGGAGCGACTGAAGATCCAACTAACAATGTTTCCAGACCTCTTGACTGAGAGGCCAGTGTGCAGACAAATGGACTCCAGACAGTCATTGAAGCTTTGAAGGGGTCAGGTTCACCAGCCATGTTTAGTGAGGTAAAGACCCCCCCTCAAATATTCATGGTCTTGCCAAGCTCCTCAGCAGAAGCAGAGAGGAGTTTCTCATGTTTGAGAAAACTGAAGACTTCGCAGTACCATGACACAACCAAGGCTAAATCACCTGCTTGTTCTGAACACACACACACAAAGACAGAACAGACAAGCTAGAGATTAAAAGCTTTGCCAGAGAGTTTGTCTCACGAAACAGTGTCAGAAAAAATGTATTTGGAACAGTCACTCTCTAATTAAATGAAATGAAAATCGAAATTCAAAATGCCTTTTTTATGGAACATGAATTTGCAATTTCCTGTCTGATAACACTGTAAAAATTGGTGTTAGAAAATAAAAACATAAATAGTATTAAAACATTAAAGGTTAATAGGGTAAAAGATAAAGTTATATTGTACAATGTTTAGCGCAATCTAAAACTCATGGTAGCTTACAAATTCTTTAAAATATTTATTTCTTTACATATCTTTTTATTATACCCAGTTAAAATGATTTTAATAATAAAAAGTTAAAAAGGGATACATAAAAAATGTTTTTTGAATGTGAAATTGATGGAATGGGTTGAACACAAAAAGAAAAGAAAAAGAAAAACACATTATCCAGGGAAGTCGGGAACCACTTTGGCATCTGTGTGTTGTACTCCGGACAGTAGAGGACTGGTGGACAGCTGTCTGTCTGCTACAGCAAGCTACTCGTGTTGTGATCACAACAAATGGTGAGTTTACATGAACAGAACTTCAACTGACTGACTGCTTTGAGGTGACAACATGACACAAAAATAGTTAAAAAAGCCCGTAATTTTTCCGCACACATGTACAAAGCGCGTGCGCACCAATCCCCCCTTTCCTCCCATCCCCTTATCTCGCCTTACCTCTCTCACCTACACGCCTTACATTCCTTACCTACACTCCCTCATCTTGCCATAACTATCTCACTACCTCACCCCCTCTACCTTAACTCCCTTACCTACATCCTCCTCAACCAACCTTACCTCCCTTACCTACACCTACTCATTCTGTCTTTCCCTCCCTACCACCTTCCCTAAACCCACCTACACCCCCCTAATCCTACCTGATATCCCTTACCTACACCCACACATTTCATGTTACCACCCTCAACTCCATCCCCCTTATCAAACCTTACCTCCCTAAACCCCCTAATCACATTTACCTTTCTTACCTACACCCAGCTTATCCCACTTTACCTCCTTTCCCTACACCCCCTCATCCCACCCTAACTATCTACCTTAACACTTTACCTATCCTCACGGACAGCCCCCTTAACTGACCTTACCTCCCTCACCTACGCCCCAGATCCTACCTTTCCTAACTAACCTGAACCCCATCATCTTACCTTACCTCCTCAACTTCCTCCCCATATCCTTTTACCCCCTTAACTACACCCCCCCATCCCACCTAACCTGTTGTACCCACACCTCCTCATCCTATCTTACCTCCCTTACCTACCTTTGCCTACATCCCCTAAATCCAAACTAACTTCACTTAGCTACATCCCCTCATTCCGCCCTCCCTTCCTCCCTACACATCTCTCATACCACCTTACCTCCCTCACCTACAACCCATTACCCCAACTTACCTCCCTCCCCTACAAGCAGTCATTCCAACTTACCTACTTAAGCTACACTCCCTCATCCTACCTTTCCTCCCTACAACCTCCTCATCCCACCTTCCCTCCCATGCCTTCATCCCCCTCACCCTACCTTTCATCCTCTACCAATAACTCCTCATCCCACCCTTCTCTCATACCTACACTCCCTTAAGGCACCATAACTATCTTACCACCTTACCTAACCATACCGGCACCCCCCTCCTCATAACTTAACACCCTCACCTTTAACCCCGTCAGCTACACCTCCTCATCCCACAGGACCGTCCTCACTTACACCCTCTCATCTTACCACTATCTACACCCCCTTCATCCAAACTTTCTTCTGTCACCTAGTGCCTCTTATCCTACCTTACCCCCCTCATGTACAACCACTTATCACATCTTATCTTCTACACCTACTCCACCAAATTCCACCTTACCTTCTTTGCTTACGACCCCTCATCCCATCTGTTCTCCTTCACCTTCAACCTCTCATCCCAATTTACCTCAATCACCTTCAACTCCCTCATACCATGTAACCCTCCTTACCTACACCACTTCATTACACCTTATCTCCCTCACCTTTAACCCCCTCATCCAACCTTACCTCCCTTACCTACACTGCCTTCCTCAAACCTAACCTCCCTCACCTACACCCCTCATCCTACCTTATATCCCCTTACCTAGACCCCCCTCATTCCATCTTACCTCTATCAACCCCCATTCTGTCTTACCTACCTCACCTACACCAGCATACCTTATCTTTACCCCCTTATTTATATCCTACATAACCTCCTTTTCTTACACCTACTCATACCACCTTATCTTCTTCACATTTTACCCCCTCATCACACCTTGCTTCCCTTACCTACGCCTCCTCATTGCACTTTTTCTCCATCAGCTACACCCCCTCATCCCACAGGACCATCCTTACCTACATCCCCCTTAACCCACCTAACCCCCCTACCTACACCCCCCTTATCACACCTTACCTCCCTTAAATACACCCCCTTCATCCTTCCTTAGCTCTCTCATCTACAACCCCTTATAGAGAAAAGCAGTGAGAAGTTTAGGTACAAGTTGATGTGCTTTACTGCCTAAAAGTTCAGGCTTACCCCCAATTTCCGCTGCATCCAAAATGGTGGCGAAAAGTCTGTTTGTGCCAATTGCAGCTGATTATTTCCATTCAAGATAATGTTTGAATTTACACAGGCTTCTTTCCGTTCCGCTGCGGTTCAGTGGTCTCCACAGCCGATCCTCAGGAGTCTATTTTTGAGGTGACGCCACAGCATGCCGCATAAATTCAGCACAGATCAGGCTGTGCTGGAAAGGAGGTCGGGCAGAGACACAAAATAAAACATCCAGCTTTTTAAAAAAATAATTAAAGGTGGAGTTGGCAGGAGGGTTGCCAACTCCCTAAAAAAAAAAAGGGACACCTTATTTGCGGAGCTGGCCGATCCAACTGCCTTTACCCTTCCTGGTGTGTTTTTTTTTTACTCTATTTGACTCAAATCTGAATTAAATTAGATGCATATTTGTGAGTGACATGCACACATGGAAAACAAATTATTATCCAGCAATTCACTTTAATACAAAATAAAAAAGTTAGCTGAATAAAATAAGTATCTTTCTTAAACAGAAACCTGTCCTGCTTAACTTCAAACTGTATAAATTAATATAAAACAATAGATAGAAAGCATAACAGTCATCCTGTAATAGTGCACATTTTTTGTGCAACAATGAAAGTGCAAACAAAGTCTGTAGAAAACTTGTAAACATATTTGTGCCTCAAAGGCCATGACTGTAGGCTACAGTTGCAGTAAAACAGAAAAAAAAACAGCTCAATGCCAAATTATGTGGAGATAGCCTACTTTTTCCACTTGTAATTTTTCTGAGCTCTTGCTGCAGTGAGGAGTTGTTTGTCTATGAGTGCTGCAGAGTAAAACTCTGAGCAAGACAGTTCATATTGAGGCTGACAATGAGCTCACCTTTAATTAATTCAGTGGAACATTTGTTTTGCACATCAGTCCATTTGTGCTTCATCAAAGAGAAAATCCTCTCCACAAACCCTGTGGAAGATGGGATGCTGAGGACAAAGGATACAGCAGCTTGGATGTTAGGGAGGCCAGCTGCCTGAAGAACCTCCATCTACCTCTCTGCTGTTCCTTTGGACTGCCAGGTTTCCTTTTTCTGAGTGAGGTGCTCCAGAAGACTTTTTGCGGTTACACATTCTTCATACTGATCATCCATGGACATGCTCAGCCTACCAGAAGAGATGAAAAGTTGTCATTTACGTTGGTAAATAAATGGGAAAAAATCTCATTGTTTATATTCGTAAGTTTTAATACTACTTACAGTTTAATTTATTTATTATTCTCTCTATTTATCCATGTATCTATCAAGTATATGAACTGTTTGAGTTTGTAAGATGTATAAAAGATTGCATATATGTGTATACTGTAAACTACATTTATGATTATGTATTTATTGGTATATATTATCTATCCATTGTATTTATTTATAACCATCGATAATATTTAAACATGGTCCATCACTACACTGGCAAATGTTTCATTCTTACCTGCCAACCAGACAAAGCCGGTGGGTTATGATGTCCATATCATCAAAGGAGATCTTCCCAGATGCTAGAGAGAGGGGCTGCAGGTGGAAGAGACAGTTTTCCTCTGAGAAATCAAACCACTTCTCAATGTATGTGATGGCATGGTTTAAGAAGTCTGTGAATTCCTGCTTTGCAACATCGGCATGAGATGGTGAGAGATGCTGGAGCTTTTATTTGGTTAGGTACCCATAGAACTGATCAACTCTTCTCTGAGTTAGTTTCCTCCGGAAAGATTCCATTTTAGAGAAGAGGTCAATGGATGTGGTTACATTCTTCTCCAGCTTTTTCACCACCTCTTCAAATAGGGACAGGACATTATTACAGAAGAGGAGGTACACTTCAACAGTGTCTGGCTCTTCCTTAACTCCAGCAGCATCTTCAGTCAACCTCAGCAATTCTTTCAGGTGCTTTGGACATTCTTCACCAATGCTGATGAGATAGGACTTCAGCGGGACCCAGTTCTGCAGCAGGCGGGTGATTGCAGTGTTGAGTGACAGCCATCTTGTCACCACATGGCGAAAAATTTAATGGATTTCAACATCACAAAATTAAAAAAAAAAAAAACATCAGGGACTCTTTCCTTTTGGCAGAGTTGGAAAAGAAACCGTATGCCTTGAGGACAATATTTTCCACATCCACAGAGAGCTTGTCCAGGGCCTTTTTCAGTGTGTTATGGACAATATGGGCATGGCAGTTGCCACGGAGGATCTCACTGTTGACCTCTCTCAATTTTGTGAAGACCGAGTTGTGGCTGCCATAATTGACATTTGCGTTGTCAGCGCTGAATGTAGAAACATGATCTAGGGATAGACCCATGTTTTCCAGAGAGCTTTGTATTGTTTTTACTATTCCCTCTGCAGACTCATCTGGATTTTCAATGAAATCTATCACCTTGTTGACAACCCCATTCTCTGGTGTGAAAAATTGCACAGCCAATGGAAACATTTTACGATTTCCCTTATTCGAGGCGTCAGTGTGAAGAGAGAATGGGAGTGAATTTCCACCACTTTTAGATCACCTCCCCTGTTGCCTTTGGAGACAGGACATCTGTGACAATTGCCTCAGCTTTTGTCCTCCCACAGGACATCTTCTTGGCAATGAAGAAGCTCAGCTTCAGAGCACAGTCAGCTGAGTTAAAGCTTAAACCATGCTTTACAGTGTGGTAGGTATGGGCTACCTCTGCAGCAGTCACTTGTATATTAGAAAAAAGAAGAAATTTTATGATATGTATAGTTTGTTTAGTAAATCAACTGCCTGTACAGTACAAATGATGCATGTTATATCTATCTCCACTGGTCTGAACTTATTCATCTATGTATTAATTTTATGTATTATTTAATGTACTTGTCTATCAACTGTATTTGAAAAAAAGTAATATTATAGTAGGCTATCTTTGTCCATACAATGGTGACATCCATTGCACTTGCAATTTTCCCACATTAAAAAAAATAGTTCTTTACATACTATAACAGCTTTCCAATGCTGTTACTTGTGGCAAACACCTTTTTGCTTGAGTTGACGTGTGCCCGTATGTGGAATAATGTCACGTCACACCGTCCATATCTTCTGTTGTTTTTGATTTATTTACTCATTCATTATTTGATGTAAGACAAGACACAAAACCACTTAATCAACCCACCCATTAAATAGACAGGCACAATAGCACCATCTGTTGGCACAAAAAATACATAACAATAAACTGCAAAACCCCACTCTGGCTCCTACGCTCCGGCCCCTAAATTGTTCATAATGTAAGGCATAACAATTTACCAACAAATAAAAGGAACCACCTTTATAAAGTAGTTTGATACAGGTACACATAAGAGATGATTGTGGTGCATAAACCCCCATTAAATATCACAAGATGCCAATAATAGGCAAAGCTTAGCCACAGGCCTCTCAATAATATTATATTTTGTTTTTAGACGAACAGACTGTACAAAACCGTTCCTGTCAGGAAGGTTTCTAGCACTTTTCCGAGCAGCCAGGATCCCCAGGGCGCTGTTGAGTCCACCACTAGGACTATGTCTCCAGCGACAAGGTTTCTTTTTCCCTAATTCCATTTTTGTCTCTCCTGAAGCAATGGGAGATATTCTTGCACCCATCCTTTCCAGAACAAATCCGAGGGATATTGGACCTGTCTCCATCGTCGCTTGACATACAGATCTTGTTTCTCAAACAGTCCAGGTAGTACCGCAGGTTTGCCCCTCAGTAGGAGAATGTGGTTTGGCGTAAGGGGTTCGAGGTCATTTGGATCTTCAGATAATTTAGTGATGGGCCTGTCGTTAAGTATGGCCTCAACCTCACAAAGAATGGTATGCAATCCATCATCATCCAATGTTTGTAGATGCAGAACAGAGTTGAGTACCTTTCTGATCATACAAATCACACGCTCCCACACACCACCATAATGGGATGCTGCCGGTGTATTAAAACTCCACTTGATTCCATGCTGACGCACTGCGCCCTGTATCTTGCTGTGATTCAATTTTGCAAGTTCCTCACGCAGTTCTCCCTCTGAACCAACAAAGTTAGTGCCATTGTCAGACAGCATGTGAACAACTTGACCTCTTCCGCTCATAAATCTCCTCAGAGCATTAATGCATGCGTCGGTGTCTAACGATGTTGCCATTTCCAGGTGAACTGCTCTGCTTGACAAACATGTAAAAATTACTCCATAACGTTTGCACATACTCCTCCCTCTTTTTACTTCGAATGGTCCAAAGTAATCGACTCCAACACTTGAAAATGGAGGGAGATCAGGCAGAGTCCTCTCAGGTAGCAGATCTGCCATTTTTTGTTCACCAGGGGCCTCATGTATCAACGCTTGCGGCGCAAGAAAACCTTGCGTACGCCAAAATCGGCGCACACGTCCAGATTTATCATCGCGAAACGAGCGTCGGTTCCAGCTCTAATCAACGCAAAGTGAGGAGGTGGTGTAGAAATTGGCGTTGAGCTGATACTTGCGTTGACTGTGATTCGCACTTTGGCGACGCTGTGTGGCGGTGTTTGGTGACTCACTATGTGACAAGCGTGCACCACATCCCCGTGGCCGAGCAGCACGTCGCCCCACATGACGAACCAGCAGCAGACGGAGGGATGCGAGCTGATCCTCGCGCGGGAGAATCTCATCGCCACAGTGTGAATGGGTAAGAAGTGAATACACAGTTCAATGAGCCAAATTAATTTATTTTCGCCACCAGACGCTCGAGGAAATTTACGAGCCGGTCCAGCCGCTCGTTGATCCCCGCAATCCCCCTGATGATTTCTTCCTGCGATTGCAGGACCCCCTTCGCGAGGACCCTTCCACTGCGTCCGGGTGGTCCAGCGGAAACGCCGCGGCTGGTGGACGCTCCACCGCTTGTCGGCGCGCTGGTGCTGATGCTGGTGCTGGTGCTGGGGCCGGGGGCCGGGGTAGCCCGAATGCCGCTGGTCCTGGCCGACGACTCCGAGCCGGCGGACGGGCTGCCGCGGGCCGGGGTTCCGCAAGCCGGCGACACGGCCGACACATTGATTTCTGTGACACAATAAAAATATTTGTTCATTTCAATTCCTGCTTCTGTGTATCTGTTGCGTTTACATCTCTCTCCACGGTATCATAGGTAACGTAATCCAGTATTTCGAGGTCAGTTATGCACATTACAGTTGTTTATTGCATAAAAAGTTATCGAAAAATGAAGTTAAGGGCAAAGTATAAATCACGTCTAAAAATAGACTGAATCCAGACGTTGAAATGAAGTATAAACTTAGACTAGACGTCTAATATACGTCTTTTGCTCAGTGGGATGACAAAGCATGTGGACATTTGTGTGACACGCCACTTACCCTATAATAATAATTACCACCACCCGCTGCTCAAACGGCGTGAGGGTCTCCTCCCCCGGACCCCCACCTGTCTGGCCGGTACTCCTCTGGAGGGCAGCTGTACGCCGCTTGACCTCCACCTTGAGGTCCGACCACTTTTTTTTAATCTCCGCGGGGATGCGTGTCTCGGAACCCACCGCATTCACCCTCTCGCAAACTTTCTCCTACTCCAAGCGTTTTTGTTTTGCACTGACGCCACTGGACAGGCTGCCAAACAAAACACGCTGTCGCTCCTCCACCTCCGCCACCAGCACCTCCACCTCGCACGCCGTAAATTTAGTTTTTCTTGTCATTTTGTCTGCGTGCGAGGACAGGGAGACCCTATTTAAATAAATCTGCATATTTATAGGAGGGCGTAACGGGGCCCAGTCACTCCGACATCTGCGCTCAATTCCACGCTGATTGGGATTTATCAAGGAAACACACATGGATTTCGGCGCCCGCCCACATTGATACATACAGATTTTTTTCAGCGTTACGGACCTTGCGTGCGCTCGTTTCTGGTATGAGTTCCACGCAAGTGTTGATACATGAGGCCCCTGGTCTTACAGTGAAGCGTCTGCACGTGCAACAGTCAGAGATCATCTTCTTCGTTGCAGAGTTAGCACCTGTGATCCAATATATTTTCCGTAATGTTGATAATGTGTGGTTTTGTCCACTGTGGCCCAGTTGGTGGTGGATGTGTCTTAAGATAAGAGTCGCAACATGTTGATCTTTAGATAGAATGAGTGGGTGCTTACTCTCCTCTGGCAACACTGCCCTACTCAATCGCCCCCCAACTCTCAGCAGGCCATCCTCCAGGCGAGGATCCAGTTTGTACACAGAACTTTTCCTTTTAACTGACCCTCCAGACATGAGTGCCTCAATTTCCTCCTTAAACCTCTGCTGCTTAGCATACTTGATAATGGAAACCTCTGCCTCCAATAGGTTGTCTGACAAAACACTCTGACCTCCAAGTGTTTTACTGATCTTCTTCATTTCCATTTCCAAATGTGTAGGCTGATCATTTAGGTCAGAGGTCAGCTCCTTTCTTGCTTGACGTAATTTTAACAGAGTTCTTTTTACCTTGAGGAACCACGCAACTGCAAGCCTGAGCTTCTGCCAGCTTGAAAAATGAGTGAGCAGTTGATCAGTAGCACTGGATAGATTTTTCATAATTACTACACTCACAATGAAGCCACCATAGAAAACACAGGAAGTCTTTGTCTGTTTCAGCCACTTTGACCTGGTAAAACATCTTGTGTATGTCTCCCATAACTGCCACAGGCTCCTGCCTGAACCTGGTGAGCACTCCCAGAAGACTGCTGGTAAGGATAGGTCCCTGGAATAACTGACTGTTCAATATTGTTCCTTTGAATGTTGCTGTGCAGTCAAACACCACCCACAAATTGTTCTTTCTGGGGTGGTAGACTCCGTGGTGTGGAATATACCAAACCTGCCCTTCAACACCATCCAGCTGGTCCTGAGGTACCTTCTCGGCATAGCCACGGGAGATTACATCATTAAAAAAGTCTGTATATTCTTGATGGAACTGCTGGTCTCTTTTAAATCTCCTCTTGAGCCCTTGTAACCTTTGCTTGGCCATAGATAGGTTGTTTGGGAGTGTCGGATGCTCTTTCCTGAGAGCCATTTTTAGACTATAATGTCCATCCTGGCTCTTTACAGATTGACCAACAATGTCCAAAAATCTCATGTCTTCTCTTGACATTTCTTCACCATCATGAGTTTTTTCATTAAAGTCGTGCATGTACTGATTGGTTAGCAATTCCTCCAACCTGCTCACAGAAATCCTATTCACTGTGGCAGAGGGCAATTCTGCCTCCAATGTTTCACTGTTTCCACTTAGTGGACCGTTAACAGTCCATCCCAACACAGTTCTAATAGCATACGGGCCATTCCCGCGGCTGTTGATGACCTCCCAAGGTTCCAGTACTTTGGAAGCGTTGGTTCCTATCAACAAATCAACATTTGCATTTATTTGTGGGATGTAGACATCTGACAGGTAAGGCCATTTATCCAGTTCATTGGTTGTTATAACATTATCAGTGGTGACTGGCATTTTCTTTTGAGTCAGGACCTCTGGCAGACTATAAAAGTCATTGCTATCCAATCTGGCCACCTCCAAATCAGTGAGTGAATAGGCAGGAACAACAGTCTCTTGGCCCATAGTGCTTAACAAAAAAACGTTTTTTCTCCCTGTTGCATTGAGCTTCTGCATAAGGTCTTCAGAGCAGAATGTGGCCGAGCTACCAGGGTCCAAAAATGCATATGTGTGTATGATGAGATTTCCCTTTGCAGATTTGACACATACAGGAAGAATTGGCAGAGCACAATCATCTTTTCCGGACCCTGTATGACCACATGTTTGGGAGGAAGTTTGTTGCTTATTGAGTGGCCCCTTTGTCAGCAATGATATAGGTTGTGACCTTTTCTCTGCGGTTGCCGATTGCCCTTTGATGTGTAGTGCGGTGGGATGAGTTCGATCACACACTGTACATGTCAAACGCCTCTTGCACTCACGACTTGTGACCATCACAAAAGCATGCAAAGCAAACTCCCTTTTCCCTCAGAAATTGAATCTTGTCTTTGTGTCTTTTTTCACTGAACAATTTGCAAACCTCCAATGTGTGACTGTGTGAACAGAAAAGGCATCCCACCTTGACAGACTCCCTGGACTCCACTGGTGGCTTCGCCCCTTTCTCTGGCAAGGCCATGGATGTTACAGTTGTAGCAACAATGTTTCTCCCCACCCGGTTTCCGGGATGTGATTTGAACCGAGTGAATGTCTTTATGCCGGCCGCACCAGACACTGGATCTTGGATGTCACCAAACAGAGGGTCGGACAGGATCTTAACATGACGCTCCACAAATGCCACCAGGTCAGGAAAATGTGCTCTCTGTTGCGTTTGTTCCAGGATTCCATGAGCGACAGTCCTCCACTGCTCCCTTAATTTATATGGAAGTTTTGAAATAATCACTCTCATATTTGCAGGCATGTCTAAATCTTGCATATATTCAAGCTCTCCCATCACATTGCAACAGCCACGTAAAAACAAAGAATATGCTTGTAAAGTGCTAATATCCTCAGCCTTTATGGACTGTCAGGCAAAAACACGTTCCATGTAGGCATTAACGATTTTATATTGATTTCCAAAATGCTCTTGGAGCAGGTTCTTAGCCTCTGCATAGCCGTGACCAGGAGCCAGATGCTGGCAGCTTCGCACCAATTGTTGCGGCTGTCCTCTGGTGAATTGCTCCAGATAGAAAAGACAGTCTTCTGCCCCCGTTTTATTCTCCACTCCTTGTTCAAACGCCTTCATGAATGTCCTGAACTGCAAAGGGTTCCCTTCAAATACAGGAATCTCTCTTGGTGGCAGAGATCTTGAGGTTTGCTGTTGCACCAAAGCAGAGGTTATTTCATTTTGTCTGTGCATTATACAAAGTACATCTTCAGATAAGTTTTGATTAACGTGAGGTGGAGGGACTTGCAACATTTGAAGACTTGGTATAGGCTGACTGGTTTCTTCTTTTAGTTGCAAGGTCATCTTTTGACCTTGACGTGGGTGTGAAATTCCCCCACCCTCCTGATGGTTTCAGATATTGGGCTGATGTTCAAACCCTGCTTTATGGCATGGACTATGTTCCTCTGGTTGTACAGTCAGTGGTTTGCTTGGATTTGTTGAACTTTGTTGTGTTAATTTCTGCAATCCGGGATGATATTCGCTTGCCTTAGGATTTAATGTGGACACAGAATACTCTCTCCCTGCTTCCCTTTCCAGGTAAGAGTTCATGCCATCCGTTAATCCTGATCTGGAACTTCCCACATCAGAAGATTGCAGTACTGCCAACCTAGCAGTAGTTGCAGCCAGCTCTGCCTCTAGCTCAAGCCGCACCCTTTTCCTCCGCAATTGTTGCTCCTGCTCCTCCAATGCGTGGCTTTCCTTCAAAGCATAGCACGGGCAAGCAGAGCAGCCCTATCTGCTTCAGCCCTTATACGTGCAGAGGCGGTGCTTGATCTTCCACTTTTGCTGCTTCCTTTACTTGAACGTTTTCTTCTTACATTAGAAATGCTGTCATGTGGGCTGATGTCATCCACAACAGCTGCTATTTGTGCATCGGTTTTATTATTTTTGATTTCACTGGTTTTGATTGTTACCAATAACCTCATTTTTACTTGGATCACCTTTATTTGCAATATCAGCACATTCTTGTAAACCACCTTCCATGTTTAAAACCCACATTTCTGCAACATCAATACATTCATTCAAAGACAACAATTTTGCTTTAAACCATATCCCATGTTTTTCTTGCTCATCAAAAGGCAAAAACTCCAACAACTGAACATGCACTGATTTCACATCATCACACACCCCTTTCAATTCATTCAGAGCACCCTGCACCATTGTTTTGTCACCCTGTGAAATGAGATTTTTCATTGAATTTCGGATACTGGCTGCTTTGTTCAACTTAACCTTCCTTTCATTTTGCAACCGTAGTATTTTATCCGCAAGCGCCTTTTCAGTCATTTTAACCTTCCGTTTTTGGGTTTGAGTGTCAACCTTGCTTGCCGTTTCCATGGTTGCACCTGATGCCGTTTGTGATTGGACGAGAGTTTACGCACTTCCGGTTTATCGACTGCGCCTTTTACGCTCGATCAAACTATGCGTTTACTACCAATGCATTGGTTTTATTGCCCCTTGTGTACACACAGATCATATGGCCATTTTATTATGTAGACCTACTCAAACCTCGTTATCTACGTTGGGCACCATGAAATGATCAGCTGATGCTCCACTGCCTCGCTCCTTCAGCCGTGGCCGAACTCCACTTGAAGCCAGCAGCTCCTCGCTCACCACGGCGTTGATCGTTCCCCCAGCCATAGCCGAACTCCTCCTGAAGCCAAGACGAACCCCAAACAGCAGCAGCTCCTCGATCGCCTCCACCAGCACCAGTCGTTCCCCAGCCGTGGCTGAACTCCTCCCAAAGCCAAGACGCAGCAGCAGCTCCTCATTCGCCTCCACCAGCTCCAGTCGTTCCCCAGCCATGGCTGAACTCCTCCCGAAGCCAAGACGCAGCAGCAGCTCCTCGTTCACCTCCAACGGAACCGATCTTTCCCCAGCCACGGCCGAACTCCTCATGAGGCCTGGCTGCAGCAGCAGCTCCTCGTTCGCCTCCAATGAAACCGTTCTTTCCCAAGCCGCAGCCGAACTCCTCACGAGGCCAAGAGGGACCCAATCTGGAACCGGTTGCTCCACGCTCACCTCCAGAGTCCAATATGAGCCAAGTTTTTTGACAAATATAACAGCTTTCCAATGCTGTTACTTGTGGTGAACACCTTTTTGCTTGAGTTGACGCGTGCCCGTATGTGGAATAATGTCACATGTCACACCGTCCATATCTTCTTTTGTTTTTGATTTATTTACTCATTCATTATTTGATCTAAGACAAGACACAAAACCACTTGACATGGTCAAAAAACTGTTCGGCTTCCCAGGTGTGCGCACCTGTCCTAATAAACCCACCCATTAAATAGACAGGCACAATAGCACCATCTGTTGGCACAAAAAATACATAACAATAAACTGCAAAACCCCAATCTGGCTCCTACACAAACCAAATCTGCCTCTGGCGTTGCCTTGTGGACAACAAATTGGTTTAGGGTTTCCCTCGTTTTGTTGTCCCTTATGTTTTGTATAGAATAGAATAGAATAAAATATTCCTTTATTGATCCCCCATGGGGGAATTTTTTTTGTCACAGCAGCATCACAGACAAAGAGTGCAAAAATGCAGTTATAAAACTAAAGATCCTAATATTAAGAACTTAAATAAAAGTAATAATTAAGAAAAAATTTAGAAAAAGGAAAAAGGGAGGAGAAAAATAAAACTATCTACAATATACACAATTTAAATGCCAGAAAAAAAGTGGTGGTGTAAATCCAGTTATTATTACAGTTTGTTGTAAAGTCTTATTGCAGAGGGGAGGAATGACCTGTGGTAGCGCTCTGTCCTGCAAGGTGGAAGTCTAAGTCTGTTGCTGAAGGAGCTGCTTAAAGCCCCCACAGTCTGATGCAGTGGGTGAGAGGGATTGTCCATGATGGTATGTGCCCACCACCGGAAGCATGTTGTTTCAGGTCAGTCAGTCCACCATGGCCGACTGAAAAACTGCGCCAGCACACCATGCAGTGCGCTTTATATTTGTTATCACGTACTTTTCCCACCCAGGTGTTTCCTTTTTTCCATTCCTCACAGTTTTTTTCTCGGAGGAGTACTTGTCGCATTGCTGCTCGAATGGTGCACTGCTCTGTAAAGCAGTGTCGGCATCTGTTTCACTCGGCTCGTCACCCATGCTGTTCTGTTGTCTTCCGCTATCTTCTGTGCGAGCAACAGTAGGCTCGACCAATGGGATGAGTGAATTCTGTATCATCATACTCGTGTGTGACTATGCTGTCAGTTCATTGGTCAATGGTCACAGAGCAGGACAGGGCCCAGGAACAAGCAAACAACCATTAATGTTCATCTAACGCACCTTGTTATTTATTTTTCATTGGCTTTTTACTGACCAGTTCTCACTGGCTCTCACAGTAATATGGGACAAAGTGCGTCCCTTTACAGCTCAATACAGGACGGGTGCTTTTGTTTCTAAATACGGGATGATTCAGTTTTTCAAGGGACGGTTGGCAACCCTAGTTGGCAGGGTTCTGTTGAAGAAGCATCTTTTTTGTGGTGTATATACAAAAAAGCTTTAATATCAGTCAATAGCTGTTAGCCATTGATGACAGTTGGGGATATCACAATATCACTGTGTTTTGTAATGACTGTGTGGTCAACATTTTAAATATTTTGAGTGGCCCGCTCTTTCTGACTGTAAACAAAGCCATTCTCCGCCTCCTGCAACCTGATTGGTTTGTGAGGCAGATGCTGCTCCTTAGTGCTGATTGGTTGTGAGGCAGACGTTGCTCCCTTGTGTTGTGCGGAATACTCCCTGTCCACCAATAATGTGCACAAGCCCAAACAAAGTTAGCGTGCTACAAAATCAGACAGCAGAAAACAACCAGAAAGTATGGAAAACACAAGCAATAAAATGAAGTAAATACCGGAGACTCTGGCGAAATAACAGGCACTTAAAAAGGAGATGGACTGGACAAGAGCCAAAAAGCCGGGTCAACATCAGCATAAACGATGGAGGCGCTTTGGGATCTTACAGACCCTGTAACCTTTCTGCTGGACAGGTAAACCGCTTTAACAAAGTAAGCCAAGTGTCTGTAACAGAAGTGTTTCTTGTCAAACAGGACCTGCTGTGTGTTGTAGCCACTAAACTGTTGAACTCGGGTCCTGGAGTATGTGACTTTATTCTTGTTGTAGAAGTCCTGCAAACGTGTTCGTAGGAAGTCTGTTGGCATCTACAGTAGCACAAATGCTTTTTACTTTCATGTTGACTGGGTCCCATTTGTAGTTTTCTAAAGTATTTATCTGCATTAAATCTGAATTTAATTGGAATGATACAAGCGAGCAGAAGCGTCTGTTTATGGGCGGGGCTTGCTGGAGCAGAGAGGAAGGGGAGAGGAGGAGCTGAGGGAAAAACTGGTTGGGAGGGGTAGTGTTTAAATTCAAGATTTCTGCCAAATACTGGCAATTCCTCAGGTCCTGCCTACCCCACCTTTAATAGTTTTAATTCCAGTGTTTCCTTGGAGAGGTCCTCCATACTGGGAGCTGTGTTTGGGCTGCTGCTGGGGGTGCTGTCCCCAGCTGGCTGTTGTCAGTTGAGGGCAGGGGGCCTGGGCGCTGGTGCCCCCTGTGGCACAGCCTGTGACTCCTCCCAGTGTGGATGGCCCCAAAGATGGCGCTTCCTCAATTCTCAGTTGAGGAAGTGCCTTTGTCAATAGTGACAATGTGTGTGTGTGTGTGTGTGTGTGTGTGTGTGTGCGTGCGTGTGTGCGTACGTGCGTGCATGTGTGTGCATGGAGGGTGGGAGGGAGGGGCTTTATTTGAAATTGTTTGTCCATGTTTTTATTTTTTCTATGTGTGTACAGCACTTTGTGTTGTATACCCATACATGAAAAGTGCTATATAAATGAAGTTTGATTTGATTTACTTGAAAAGTGCTTTGCAAAACCCTGATTTTTAATTCAGTCTGGCTAATGTTTGTTTTTAATGCTTACTGGGTGAAAGGTTTTTAGCAATCGGACTGTTAGGGTTTGTTTTCTTGAAGGGACCCAAAAGCAGGCAGCGGAGGCAGAGGAAGCTGTGAGTGGTTTAATTAATCAAGATTGGTGTAGGATGGTGAGAGATCCGTGGTGAGGGGGTGAGGCTGTGGCTGTGTCTCATTTCAGAGACCGCATCGTGATAAGCGCGCTTAACGGCGCTTAGCTGAGTGCACTGCCGTTTTGAGCCGTTTTACGCCGTTTTGCGCCGTTCTGTGCCCTTCCTGTGTCCCATTTTAGATACAGCAGCCATCGAACGGCGCATCTGACGCGTACGTGAGGTCACCACGCGGCACGAACGGTGTCCCGTTTGGCACAAAATACTAAGCGCGCTTCAAATTCGGTCTCAAAACCACACTACCCCCGCCTCGTTTTCAAGCGTGCATGTATGCACGCTTTCGTGCCGTCGGTATCCCAGAATTCTTTGCGTGCCGCTGCACAGCTGTGCATTTCAGGTGAGAGGCTGGACTCGCTTGGAGACACAGCGCGTCTTCGAAGAAAATACAAGCAATCCAAAACCATCAGACAGTCAGCTCAGGCTGTATGAGAGCATGATCTCTGAACTCACTAAAATCTGTAAACCAAACATTATAGATTTAGAGACGAACTGATCCGCTGTGTTACAACTATCAAAAACATTAGAAATGAGAAAGCTGACAAAACTACAGCAGAGTATCAGGACAACATTGAGGTTTTTTTTTCTTTTAAGATTTAGAGATTAAAGTTGTAAATTTAGGAGAATAAAGTCATAAAGTAAATAAAGTCATAAAGCTGCTTTTGCGGAGGGGGAAATGACTGAAGCTGGTCATCTGCAGGGTTATCTGTGGATGTATCAGCAGGTCATTAAGAGAGATTTTGTGGTTTCTGAAGAAACAATCAAACTGATGATAATCAACATTTGTGATCCAGAGGGAGTCGAGCTCCGACGAGCACCACGTCTCTGACACCGGCCGTAGCCTACACCTGCAGAGACACCAACACCTTATTACGGCATATGGATTCATATCATAAACTAAAGCTCAATGTCATTCACGGATATTAACGGCTGCATTGACAGATCTATCCTCAGCATATTCATTTCTGCCTCCACAAAAGCAGCGATTTCCTTCAAGTACACCAATATTTTTCCCCCGTGGAAAAGACGTATTTCTCATATATTCTTTTTTAAGTCTTTATACTTATGATAATGTTATGCTGATGTGCCAGAGGATGAAGAATCTCCTTGTTTGTGAAACCTATACTGAAGCACAGTTCCTTCAAATGCTTCATGGCCCTAATTTTAACAAGTCTCTCTGAAATAACAGGTTATGACTTCATTCTCATAAATTAATGACTTTATTCTCGTAAATTCACGACTTAAATCTCGAAGTCCTTAAAGTCTTAAATCTCAATATGGCCCTCATACTCCTTCTTACAAAACAATCATTGGATGAATTGTGCTTGTATGTATCTACTATTTTGTGTCTGTGTAAGGTCGCACAATTAAAACAATAAATGCTGCGCTCCGCGGGTTTCCTTTAAGTCAGTCGTGACGCGAGCCTGAGGGCGGGGACATTTGGCAACTCCACCAGGAAGTCCTCCGAAGGTCTCCAAATGTCCCCGCCCTCAGGCTTACGTCACGACTGATTAGAAAAAAAGCTGCGGAGCGCAGCATGTATTGTTTTAATTGTGCGACCTTGCACAGACACAAAATAGTAGATACATACAAGCCCAGATCATTCCCACAAAATTAATCCAATGATTGTTTTGTATGAAGGAGTATGAGGGCCCTATTGAGAAGGAGGATAGGAGATACTTCATCCTCTGGCACATCAGCATCACATTGTCAAAAGTAAAAAGACTTTAAAAAAAGAATATATGAGAAATACGTCTTTTCCACGGGGAAAAAAACTGGTGTACTTGAAGGAAATCGCTGCTTTTGTGGAGGCAGAAATGAATATGCTGAGGATATATCTGTCAGTGCAGCCGTAAATATCCGTGAATGACATTGAGCTTTAATTTATGATATGAATCCATATGCCGTAATAAGGTGTTGGTGTCTCTGCAGGTGTAGGCTACGGCCGGTGTCAGAGACGTGGTGCTCGTCGGAGCTCGACTCCCTCTGGATCACAAATGTTGATCATCATCAGTTTGATTGTTTCTTCAGAAACCACAAAATCTCTCTGAATGACCCGCTGATACATCCACAGATAACCCTGCAGATGACCAGCTTCAGTCATTTCCCCCTCCACAAAAGCAGCTTTATGACTTTATTTACTTTATGACTTTATTCTCCTAAATTTACAACTTTAATCTCTAAATCTTAAAAGAAAAAAACCTCAATGTTGTCCTGATACTCTGCTGTAGTTTTGTCAGCTTTCTTATTTCTAATGTTTTTGATTGTTGAAGCAGAGCGGATCAGTTCGTCTCTAAATCTATAATGTTTGGTTAACAGATTTTAGTGAGTTCAGAGATCATGCTCTCATACAGCCTGAGCTGACTGTCTGCTGTTTTCGGATTGCTTGTATTTTCTTTGAGGACGCGCTGCGTCTCCAAGCGAGTCCAGCCTCTCACCTGAAATGCGCAGCTGTGCAGCGGCACGCAAAGGATTCTGGGATACCGACGGCACGAAAGCGTGGATAAATGCACGCTTGAAAACATGCTAAGCGCGTTTAGCATTTTTTAGCATCTCGTGCCAAACGGGACACCGTTCGCACCGTCGTGACGTCATGCACACTTCAAATGCACCGTTCGACGGTGCAGAAGGGCACTTAGGTCGATGCGGTCTCTGAAATGAGACACAGCCTGTATGTGAGTTGGAGGAGACAACAGATGAGTGGATCTGAGCAGAGAGTGTGGCAGTCGTGACAGAGGTTGGGCAGGCACTAGTGGCTGGTGGAGGTACTGGAGGAGAGAGGAAGACAGCAGGGATAAATACAAGGCTAAACAGTCACATAAAGTCTCAAAAACTTGCTAGGGGCCAAGATACCACTGGAAAAGTGGGATAATATGGCACTGAGCAGTCAGAGAGCAGAGCCTAAAAGCAGGTGGTGATTAGGTTGATCAGGTGCAGGTGCAAAGGTACAGGAGGAGCTTCAGCTGAAGAGGAGCCACCCAACCTCTGTTGGGGGAAAAGGGAGACTCCACACATACACACACAAAAAAA